TATAGAAAGAGGAAGAAGATGAGAGATGAAGAGAGAATGAGGGAAGAGGAAAGAAACGTATAGCAAGGTCATCATCAGTGCTTAAGGAAAAAGAAGAAGTGTACAATCATAGATTGTCACAGTACCTGCATAGACAAAGTGTAAGTACACTCTGAGAGTGTGAGTGGAGGCTGAACATGAGGATGAGGGTGAAAGTATCATTATCGCGAAACTAGTCCCAACTTCAAGACTAACTAAATCATGCTGATAACTCTAAAATTTGAATACTGTGCAGCACATGGATATCGTGTACATGCTTTTCACCATCATAAACTACGATGAGCCTAAATCCGTGTGAAGCTGGTGCGAAGTGTACCAATAAGCATGTCAGTAAAGACATCATCTCTTTTGTATCATCATTTGAACATACCATTCATACGAAATATTGTCCTTGTTTAATATTCGTATCCTTCACCTTTTTATATTAACGTGTGTTCTCTTCTCTTTTTTTGTATTCTCTATATAAGACGATGTTCTGTATTACACGAAACACATTTGGAGTATGAAGTAGTGTGGAGAGAATACCATCACCTCCACGGAGGATAGCGGTAACGCTACTCCTCTCAATTGTCATTGTGATCACAAATATAATAATAAACGACTATGCTGCAGCGGTGACGAAAAGAGGTGAAGCTATTCTTTACAGCTTATCATCCATTATTTCGTTACACGAAGGAGCGAACAAGTCGTTTCTTCATGCTAGCTCCTTCGTGCTAGCTTCACATCGATTGAGCCTAGTAGTATTATAAGACGGCACCCTAATACTTCTATCCATAGCGTACAGTACTTGTTGTCTGTGCAGAAAGATTGAGAATCAACAAGCACACAGAGTTTCTCCCTAGATCCCTCACCATAAAAAACACATTATCAGCAGTGACGCTACACAAGCTTCGTACAAAACCTAAGAATCTCTTTTTCGACAAAGCAAGCCATGAAAGTTTCTTCTCTACCTCAATTCGCAGGATACCTTTATTGGTTCGAATTCTTTGACCTCTTTATAAGCAAATATTCTAATGGGTGGTTAGCGGCATTGAAGTTTTTGAAATACCTTCCACTCTTTTACTCCCGTGAATTCTTTGGGTTCCGTGAAATCCTTGGATTGTATGTATTTGTCTTGATATTTACTTATAGTACGTTTATTTATTATATAAAGTAGGATCCTGAATTCCTCATGAGTTCGTAATTCACGCAATTCGGACAGGTCTCTTCAGAAATGATAATCGTACATTTCAACAACCGATTACAGTGTCATTCGTAAGTTATATTCGTACCAATGATGGTGGAGTCGACCTGATTTTAGTCGAAGACTCGATAATTTCTTTTCGATTTGGAAAGAATGATGGAATTTTTCAAACAAAACGATGTTTTTTTACTACATCTTTATTTTGTACTGATATATCAATGGTACTTTTCATATCAATGAGCAAATTGTGATAAAATCATCTGCGATATTGAATTCAATATTTGTAGGTGATCTTAATGATGATCAGTATTTAGATATTATAATTGGCACTATTCATCTATATGAAGTCAGTGTTCTTTTTGAAAATGGAAATTTGTGAGTACAAAGTATTTGTTCAAGTAAATTTAGTAGTGATTCGACAATGATAATCGTCGAGATGTAATGAGCGTAGATGTTGAATCCGATTTTATCAATATCTTTTTTAGTGAATGTCGATTTTTGAAACATTAGATGTTCCAGATTTTCAATGTTCCATAATGCTTTTGAGCTTACGTTTATAACAATCCAGAGATTTGTTTCATATTTGAGGAAAATTTTCTTCATATTTCTTCGATATTTCACCATAAAACCATTAAAATATTGTGAATCTCTTTTCAATTCAATCAGGAATAGCATGCGAGTGACATCCACTATCAAGAACTTTATTTAGTTAAATCTTTGAATTACAAGAGTAAATCATATGTGCATACTGTTTTTTATATCTCGATTTTCAGCAAAATAACTTGAATTCAGGATTTTGAATAAACATAGAATGATGTTTCACTTTAATTGCATATTCATTGTAATCTAACTCGAGAAGTGTAAACGGTTTTTACTGAATTGTTAGTACTTGTGAGTCAGCTACAGAGATAGAAAATGTTCCTGTAACATTCGGTGAATATGTAGTGATCACTCAATCATAGATAGAGGGGAAAAGATGACCCATGATGAGAAATTGTCGACAACCAGCATCATCATTGTCTCGCATAAGTAAATTCACCGTTGGCTGAGTTGCGTTGAATGTTTTTCGATATAAGTATCCATATAAGTCGATAGTACTGTAACTTCTAATTTGATAATAACCATAAGTACTGATGAATATTTTGTGCACAGAATAGTACAAACTCGATGATATTGATGAATCACTCAGTTGCATATACGTCGGACTCACTGTTGTGAATGCGTCTGCAAAAGTTATCGTTGTATTGATGATTATGTCGGACAGAAGTGGAACTAATTCAGAACGCAAGAGATAAATGAAACATGCTGTAGGATGAGAAGAAGATTTTCCTTCATTTGTTGTATAAGTATATTCTCCTGATATGTCTCTCAACAACTTGTTTTATCTGTTGAAACTACTTACTCGGATACGAACATCCATATGGAGTTCTATTTGATGAAGAGGACAGTATGCCTACGATGATAACTGCAAGAACAACTCTCAAAATAATCAATCCACAACTACAACATATACAAATACAAGATTCACTACATTTGCTGTTCTCGGATTGCCCCGCTGCGGTTTCATTAGTTCCTTGAGGATATATACGTCTAACATTTCTCGAATCAATACGTAATGGTGGTAAAGTAACTGTACTCTGTTGCACATTGTATGAAACAACTGAATGTCGACGACCTTCCGCCAATTGTCTCAAATAATCACCTAGCTGCAATTCATTCACTTGTAACGGTTGTGGCGTGAACGGACTGGTGCCATGTTCATTAATTCATTGTGTAATTGCTGCTCGTTCATAAACACGTCCATCACCTGCAATTACTGGATCACGAAACAGTTCCATAGTAATGGGACAAAGAAGATCATCATTTTCGATATTTTGTTCACTGTTAACTCCTGCCATAACAAATGCAAGCGTCAAAACGGAACTGATTTGTTTATTCACTCTCTTTTGAATGCTTATGGCATCAGTAGAAAATAAGTTGAATGCTTTGTTCGTCGCCAAACTCTGTGCGTCATCGCCTGAAAAATAAAGAAACATAAGTTTGTTCTTCCAACTAGAAGAATTTTATGTACGTTAATGAAGTAGAGATACTGACATCCATCATATGTATTCACTTAGACTGTTATAAATATGGGATTGCAACACGATTGAGTCAATTTCGATATATAAGAAGAAGTCTTAGTTTAATTGTTTCTCCTTCGAAATAACAATGTGTATCATTGTGACATATGAATCGAATAAAACCGAGCACAGCACAATTAACCAACTAGAATTAGTCGAATCTGAATAATTCGTCATTTAAAATTAATCAAAACAAACGATCACTAATACGATCAATTGAAATGAATAAAATATTGATAATAACAGTGTCACTGATCAATATACATTATTATTACTTTTATAGAATGTTCCTTTATCTTATCCTCGATCACAATGATAGATTTTAAAATAGCATTATTACTGTTCTCGGGTTCGGATGACATCAAATGCATTGTTTCAAGTTTCGACTATGTTTGATATAATATAGAATAGAAAAGAGAAAAGAAAAAGAATGAAGAATCATAAAAAAAGGGACAAGGATGAAAAAATATAATACAATAGAAAGGATAAGAGCGTGTGTTTAATAATGACATTGCTCAATGACGACATTCTGTATGACTGATTTCTTCAAACAATACAAAGTATTAGATGACATTTTCAGTGCAAATATCAAATCCGAGTTCGAGTCCAGTTCAAACGAATGATTCAATCTAATGAATTATTACCAGATGGTGTATATAAATACGGATAGTGTATTCTTTTCACATTCATATTCACAAATTAGTTACTGGTAGAATAACTAATATAGATAACCTCCTCTATCGTCTGTAATCGCTTCTTTTTCTTTTTATCCTTCATACTGTATTCCTTAGTGTAAACATTTCAAGAGAGAAAAGACTAACTTCAGATATTCTGGATTTCGAAAAACTTATTATGAGATCCAAAAATGTTGCTCTTTACTTCTTCAATGAATATAAATTAATTTCAATTAGATAAAAACTGTCTTACTCTCGAATTTCATCATATTCATTACAAACAAATTAATCAAATGGCAAATATCAACAATTTATTTTGTCCATCGACTATTCGTGATCATGCTGAACTTCTCGAAACTCATCAAGCAAAAAGCGAAGTTCCCTGGAAATCATTTCACATAAACAAAGGTTGATTTTCTCCTCTAAAGCGATCTCATCCCATTGTTTTTCTCCATGTAGGACCTGCATCTTTTGCTCAAATTCGCCTTTTTCTTCATGAACATCTTCGATTTCGACAAGACTTTCATCGAATATCAGTTTATCATATTCCACTGGTTTATCAAATTGGTGAAACGCGAATCTCATTGCAAAGATTACAACGAGCACTTTCAGCTGTGATTGAAAAACAAAAGATTCTGCGAACTCGTATCGTCTTTAATGAAGAAAACAATGAAATTCAACAAGAAATCTTAGACGAATCATCAATTGATGTGATCACCACAAAAGTTGAAAATGAAGATGAATTGAAAAAGATTTTGTACAATGAAAAGACAAATTGTTGTTTATTTAATGTGAATGAAGGTCGAGTATTTCGATGTCATGTTATTCGTCGATCAGCAATTCTTTCGAATGATTATTTCGAGCCATCGGATGTAATTATTTTCAATTTTCATCATATCGCATTTGATGGTGCGTCGATTGAAATCTTTCTACGTGATTTACAAGAAGCATATTCATCGGAGAAATATCTTTCGATGAATAATTTCGATTATATTGATTATTCAATGTATGAAAAACGTATCAATATGGAAGAAGAGAAAAAGTTTTGGAAAGAACATTTAAATGGTTTATCGAATACTATTCTAAAGCTGCCTTATGATCGATTTCCAAAAGATAATAACATACGATCGGGCATTGGTGTGACAAGTCGTATCGATTTATCCTGTGAAATAGTTGATGCAATGTTTAATTTTATTGATGATCATCAAATGACTTTATTTCAAGTTGGTCTCGCATCGTTTTATTTATTTTTATCTAAACTTACCCAAGAAAGTGATCTTTGTGTCCTTACAACCACAACCAATCGTATTCACACGGTTTTAGAAGATATTATTGGATATTTTGAGAACATATTACCACAACATCACATCATTGATCCTAATTCAAATATAAAAGAATTCTTTCGACGTGTTAAGCAGATATATCTCAATTCTATGCATTATGGTCATTTTCCTTATCAAAATATGGGCAAATCAACTGGTAGAGAAATTCTTTTTCTTGTAGATTCCATTCATCAAGATTCAAATGATCAAAATCTTCGATTAATTCCATTATTAAGTGATCATGATGATTTCGTTAGTAAATATGATTTGACTTGTTCAATGATATATGATATTCCAAGAAGTTCAGTAACAATATCCTTCAAAGGTTCATGTGATCTATTCAACAGAAATACTCTTTCAACAATGATTCAACGTTTTGAATATCTTCTTGAGCAAATCTTTATATGTGAATCATCTTCAATTTTCAAACTTTCTTTATTATTACCAAACGAAGTGGAACTTCTAAGACAAATAGATTTGAACAATAAATTTCCTCATGATATAAATTTTTTATCAATTCATGAACAAATTGCAAGTCGAGTCATTAAACATCCACAAAAATTATCTACAATTCTTGATGAACAATCATTAACTTATGCAGAACTTTATGAAAATGCTTCAATTATATGCGACCATCTCGGAAAAGTTTATCATATTCAGTCGAATGATATTGTTGCCTTATGTGTTGAACGAAGTCTCGAAATGCCATTAGGAATTCTTGCCATTCTAATGGCTGGTGGAATTTATTGTCCCTTAGCACCAAATCATCCTCAAGAAAGATTAGAAGGAATTCTTCGTCAAACAAATGCTCGTTGTGTTCTCACACATACGGCAANCAAGAAGCATATTCGTCGGAGAAATATCTTTCGATGAATAATTTCGATTATATTGATTATTCAATGTATGAAAAACGTATCAATATGGAGGAAGAGAAAAAGTTTTGGAAAGAACATTTAAATGGTTTCTCCTATCATTATCTCCAATTGCCTTATGATCGATTTCCAAAAGATAATAACATACGATCGGGCATTGGTGTGACAAGTCGTATCGATTTATCCTGTGAAATAGTTGATGCGATGTTTAATTTTATTGATGATCATCAAATGACTTTATTTCAAGTTGGTCTCGCATCATTTCATTTATTTTTATCTAAACTTACCCAAGAAAGTGATCTTTGTGTCCTTACAACCACAACCAATCGTATTCACGCGGTTTTACAAGATATTATTGGATATTTTGAGAACATATTACCACAACATCACATCATTGATCCTAATTCAAATATCAAAGAATTCTTTCGACGTGTTAAACAGATATATCTCAATTCTATGCATTATGGCCATTTTCCTTATCAATATATGGGCGAATCAACTGGTAGAGAAATTCTTTTTCTTGTAGATTCCATTCATCAAGATTTAAATGATCAAAATCTTCGATTAATTCCAATATTAAGTGATCATGATGATATCATTAGTAAATATGATTTGACTTGTTCAATGATATATGATATTCCAAGAAGTTCAGTAACAGTATCCTTCAAAGGTTCATGTGATCTATTCAACAGAAATACTCTTTCAACAATGATTCAACGTTTTGAATATCTTCTTGAGCAAATCTTTACATGTGAATCATCTTCAATTTTCAAACTTTCTTTATTATTACCAAACGAAGTTGAACTTCTAAGACAAATAGATTTGAACAATAAATTTCCTCATGATATAAATTTTTTATCAATTCATGAGCAAATTGCAAGTCGAGTCATTGAACATCCACAAAAATTATCTACAATTCTTGATGAACAATCATTAACTTATGCAGAACTTTATGAAAATGCTTCGATTATATGTGACCATCTCGGAAAAGTTTATCGTATTCAGTCGAATGATATTGTTGCCTTATGTGTTGAACGAAGTCTCGAAATGCCATTAGGAATTCTTGCCATTCTAATGGCTGGTGGAATTTATTGTCCCTTAGCACCAAATCATCCTCAAGAAAGATTAGAAGGAATTCTTCGTCAAACAAATGCTCGTTGTGTTCTCACACATACGGCAACAAAATATAAATTTCAATCATCAATTGTCAATCTTTCAACTTTTGATGCATCATTGAATGAATTTCGTCGTTTTGATGAACAAATTCGTCCAACTGACCAATCAATTGATCAAGTCGCGTATATTATTTTCACATCTGGTTCAACTGGTGAACCTAAAGGTGTTCAATTGACTCATCGAAATCTTTTGCTCACTGTTGCATCATATTGCTCAACTGGTTCAATTTTACCAACTGACACAGCATTACAAATAACTCCGTGTTCATTTGATGCCCATGTACCTGAATTACTTGGTTGTTTAATGATGGGTGGAACATCAATTCTTCTTCATCCAGATGGAAATATGGATTTAGATTATATATCACAACTTGTCGAAACTCACCAAGCAACTTATATGCATTCAGTACCTTCTCATTTGAGTGTTATTTGTGAACAATTGGAGAAAGATAAAACATTTCAACGTTTAAATACAATTCGATCAATTTGTTCATCAGGTGAACCAATGGATATTCGATCATTGGAGAAATTTCGTCAAAATACTCGTGCAACGATTTTTAATTTATATGGTCCAGCTGAATGTACTGATGTGAGTATTTATAAAATAACACAAGATAGAAATCAAATGATTGAACCATCGTGTATTGGTCCTCTTTCGCCTAATCTTTCTTGTCTCATTTTGGATTCATTTATGCAAACAATTTTACCTGATGGTCTTCAACTAGGAGAATTATTTGTTTGTGGACCAAGTGTTTTCTTGGGATATTTCAATCGACATGATCTGACACGTGCTGTTCTCATTGATGGACTCACAAATGATGGTAAACAATTTTATAAAACCGGTGATTTAGTACGACTTGATGCCAAAGGTGTTCTTCATTATGTTGGTCGACGAGATTTTATGGTGAAATTACGAGGACAACGAATTGAATTAAGTGAAATTGAAAACACAATCATTGATGCATCGTCGGATGTTACTCGATGTGTTGTTGTCAAATATGAAGATAAGAAAATCGGTTCGGAATATTTAATCGCTTATGTACAAACAACAATGATCAACATTGAACAGATTCTTCAACAAAAATGTCAAGAACGATTACCATTTTACATGGTTCCATCTTTTTTTATTCTTCTTCACAAATTACCTTTGTCACAAAATGGAAAAATTGATCGAAAACGTCTCCCATGTCCTCATATGAGTATCAAATTACTTCATCAACAAGATAATCAACAATCCAAGACGGAAATCGAACGTCTCGTCTCAACATTGTGGTGCGAAATTCTTCAACTTGATCAAATACCATCAATAACTATTAGTTTCTTCAAATTTGGTGGAAATTCACTTCTTTTAATGAAACTTTATCATTCTTATCATAGAATCATTCCATTTGATACGAAAGCTCTCGTAATAAGTCAATTTTTTCGTCGTTCGACTATTCGTGATCATGCTGAACTTCTCGAAACTCATCAAACAAAAAGCGAAGTTCCCTGGAAATCATTTCACATAAACAAAGGTTGATTTTCTCCTCTAAAGCGATCTCATCCCATTGTTTTTCTCCATGTAGGACCTGCATCTTTTGCTCAAATTCGCCTTTTTCTTCATGAACATCTTCGATTTCGACAAGACTTTCATCGAATATCAGTTTATCATATTCCACTGGTTTNAAAAAGAAATCGTTGAGTATTCTTAAGTAAAAATATGATAAATATCTTTTGTACATTAAATGAAAGAGAACAAGAAAAAAACCGTGGTTTTAATGATGACTATCAATGTACATATTTTGTTAAATAATATCATAATGACTACTCAGGCATGAAACATTCATCAATAGAAATATCAATACTTATAAATCAAAGTAAATGTAACCATTTAGTTTTTCTTCTTCTTTTTTTTCACATATCCTTGATAGAATCAAATATACTTACTATATATCATATAATACTTACAGAGAAATCAACTTCTTATGGTTTGTTTGAGAATATTTACTTGGAAAAAGAACTTTTATTTCTTCTCTTTTTTGTAGGGTTCGGTTGGAAAAGTAGACGAACAAATCGAAATGATTCGATCTGATGATAATCAAGATGATGAGGAAACAAACAAAAAAAAAGATAAAACGAAAGTTTCCAAGAGAAAAGCTAAAATGGATAAAAAAGCTGCTGATATGGATGATTTGAAAAAAGAATTGGAAATCGTAAGTGATTCGTTTTTACCTTCAAGGACATTCGGTTCATTATTTGTCATCATAACAAAAAATATATTGTTTAGGATGATCATTATGTCGAATTAGATGAACTTTTTCGACGATATGAATCAGATCCAGAGAAGGTAAATTTACAAAAAAAAAAAAGAATTTATTTGAAATAAATATTGTTGGAGTTTATAGGGTTTAACAGATGCAAAAGCAGCAGAAATTCTCGTTCGAGATGGAAAAAATGCATTAACACCACCGAAAACTACACCAGAATGGGTGAAATTTTGTAAACAAATGTTTGGATTTTTTGCTTTACTTCTTTGGGCAGGTGCAATTCTTTGTTTTGTTGCACATGCTATTACTGTTGCAACACATCATGGAGAAGCTCCAAATGATAATGTTTGAAAGATTATCTTTGATTTTGATTTGAAAAGAAATAATATTTTTATTTAGTTATGGCTTGGTGTTGCTTTAACAATTGTTGTTGTCATTACTGGATGTTTCTCATATTATCAAGAAGCAAAAAGTTCAAGAATTATGGATTCATTTAAAGACATGTAAGATGAAGAAAAAAATGATTTGATTTTCTATGATCATTTGTCTTTTTACTTTTAGGGTTCCACAAGTAATATTTTTGATAACTTCTCATTATTTTTCTTTGAAAAGAAATCTGATTTGTGTCTTAGCAAGCAATTGTTACACGTGAAGGACAAAATAAGAATGTGAAAAGCGAAGATCTTGTTGTTGGTGATATTGTTCATGTGAAGTTTGGTGATCGTGTTCCTGGTTTGTCTTCATTTGTTTTCATTTACTTCTTCATATCATTTCATTTTTTAATAGCTGATATTCGAATTTTGGAAGCACATGGATTCAAAGTTGATAATTCTTCATTAACTGGTGAATCAGAACCTCAATCTCGTTCTGCTGAGAAAACACATGATAATCCATTAGAAACGAAAAATTTAGCTTTTACAAGTACATTTGCTGTTGAAGGAACAGCTAAAGGAATTGTTATTCGTACTGGAGATCGTTCTGTTATGGGTAGAATTGCTATTTTAACATCTGGATTATCAACAGGTGAAACACCAATTGCAAGAGAAATTGCTCATTTTATTCATATTATTACTGGTGTTGCTGTGTTTCTTGGTGTTTCATTTTTCATCATTGCAATTGCTCTTGGTTATCCATTAATTGAAGCTGTGATCTTCTTAATTGGAATTATTGTTGCCAATGTACCAGAAGGTCTTTTAGCAACTGTTACAGTTAGGATTTGAAAGATTTTTTAGAGAAAAAGTAATGATTTGTCTTGTTTTTTAAAAGGTTTGTCTGACTTTAACAGCGAAACGAATGGCAAAAAAGAATTGTTTAGTGAAAAATCTTGAAGCTGTTGAAACTCTCGGTTCAACTTCAACAATTTGTTCAGATAAAACAGGAACATTGACACAAAATCGGATGACTGTTGCTCATATGTGGTTCGATAATCGAATTGTTGAAGCTGATACATCTGAAAATCAACAAAGTCATTTTGTTTTTCTTTTCTAAAATGAATTTATCTGTAAGATCAAATTCATTTGTTTAGATGTAACATATGATAAAACATCGGCTGGATGGTTGGCTTTATCACGTTGTGCAATGTTATGTAATCGTGCAGATTTTAAACAAGATCCGGAAAATTTATCTCTACCTGTTTTACAACGTGAATGCAATGGTGATGCATCTGAATCAGCTCTGCTTAAATGTGTCGAAATTTCCGTAAGATAGTTCGAATTTTTATTGAGAAAAAATTAGAAATATATCATTTAGATTGGAAATGTCATTAAATTTCGTGAATCAAATCGAAAAGTTTGTGAAATTCCATTCAATTCAACAAATAAATATCAAGTTTCAATTCATGAAATTCGAACGGGAATGGATCTAGGAAATCAACGTATTCATTACTTATTGGTAATGAAAGGAGCACCTGAAAGAATTCTTGAAAGATGTTCAACAATATTTATCGATGGACAAGATATTGAAATGAATGATTGTAAAATTATTTCACGAGTTTTTGTCGAAATTTCAAATTGATTTTTGTTTATGAAATAGATTGGCGTGGAGAATTTCAACGAGCATATATGGAATTAGGAAGTTTAGGTGAACGTGTTCTAGGATTTTGTGATTTACGGTTACCAACAAATAAATTCCCACAAGGATTCGAATTTGATCCTGAAAAAGCGAATTTTCCCGTGGAAAATCTTCGTTTTCTTGGTTTAATGTCTATGATTGATCCACCACGTGCTGCAGTTCCTGAAGCGTTTGTCAATTTTCATTTCAACACGAAACAATGTCTCCTTTTTTCTTGATTTAGTGTGGCAAAATGTCGTTCGGCTGGTATCAAGGTCATCATGGTCACCGGTGATCATCCAATAACAGCAAAAGCTATTGCACGTGCTGTTGGAATTATCTCCGAAGAATCTGAAACAGTTGAAGATATTGCTCAACGATTAGGTGTTCCCATTGAACATGTTAATCCACGTGATGCACGCGCTTGTGTTGTTCATGGAACTAATTTAAAAGATATGTCGACTGAAGAATTAGATAATCTATTAAAAAATCATTCTGAAATTGTTTTTGCTCGAACATCACCACAACAAAAATTAATTATTGTTGAAGGTTGTCAAAGACAAGGAGCGATTGTTGCTGTTACTGGTGATGGTGTTAATGATTCACCTGCTCTGAAAAAAGCTGATATTGGAGTGGCCATGGGTATTGCTGGTTCAGATGTTAGTAAACAAGCAGCGGATATGATTTTATTAGACGATAATTTTGCGTCAATTGTTACAGGAGTCGAAGAAGGTCGTTTAATCTTTGATAATTTAAAAAAATCAATTGCTTATACATTAACATCGAATATACCTGAAATTACTCCATTTTTAATGTATTTGATTACTGATACACCATTAGCATTAGGAACAATTACAATCTTATGTATTGATTTGGGTACAGATATGGTTCCTGCTATTTCATTAGCTTATGAACAAGCAGAAACAGATATTATGAAAAGAAGACCAAGAGATCCAAAACATGATCGACTCGTCAATGAACGGTAAAGTCTTTTGAAAGAAAAAAATGAATTTTTCAAATCATTTTTTGAGTTTAGTCTGATTTCAATGGCTTATGGACAAATTGGACCAATTCAAGCAGGTGCTGGTTTCTTTACTTATCTTGTTATTATGGCACAGAATGGATTTTTACCATCACGTTTATTGGGTTTGAGAAAATCATGGGAATCAAGAGAAGTTAATGATTTAGAAGATTCTTATGGACAAGAATGGGTAAAGATTCTTTTTTTCTTTTCTTTTATTTCTTCATCTCATTTAGACATATGAACAACGTAAACAATTGGAATTTACTTGTCATACTGCTTTCTTTATAACTATTGTTGTTTGTCAATGGGCTGTATTAATTGTTTGTAAAACTCGACAAAATTCAATTTTGAAACAAGGAATGAAGTATGACAAAACAAAGATTTTCTTTTTGATAAATTCATCTCTTTATCTTTGTTATTTAGTAATTGGATGTTGAATTTTGGTTTAGTCTTTGAAACAGTCTTAGCTGCTATAATCTCTTATACACCATATTTAGATACAGCATTGAATACTTATCCATTGAAGTAAAAGAAATTTGAATTTTGTTCGAAATCTTTCTTTTTTTTGAAATTCTCAATTTTAGATTTGTTTGGTGGCTTACTCCATTACCTTATTTCTTCTTAATTTTAATTTATGATGAAACTCGAAAATACATTATTCGACAATATCCAGGTGGTTGGGTCGAAAGAGAAACTTATTATTAATTGTCCTCTTACATTAGTTTTTTTTCGTAAAAAAAGAAAGATCATCGTAATTTAGAAATCATTCATCTTTTATTCAAAAGTTTTGTCAATAAAATTCCTTTATTTCAAAATAAAATAGTGAAATATTCATTGTTCATCAAAACGAGTAGATTTGAATAATTCAGATATATATATATATTTATTCATAAACACTCGGCGCCTTAATAGTATCGAAATATTACAATCAGTGTTTTTGAATAAAAAAAAATCTTCTTTTGTTTTTTTCTTATTAGAAGACGAGAGAGAAGAGTATGAATTAGATATTTACATATTTTCTTCCCAGTTGAGAAAGTTGTCCATTACTGTCGATCAAACAATTTCCTGAGCCAAGATCTGCTGGTAAACATCGCATAGCTCCAAACCATGAGTATCGTTCTATCCAATGTAATTCATCCAAACGAGTTAAACTTTGATCAAAAAATTGATTAATTTCATCTTGCGAAACAGATTCATTAGCATTCCAAGAAGTACAAGCAAATTCAGTTATCCAAACAGGATATTGAGAACCTAATCTTTGTCGAGCATTATTTATATAATTAATAAAGTTATCTACTCCACGACCAAACCAATGTAAAGCAAGAAAATCAATATGACAACCTTGATTTAAAAATGTTTGTAACCAATTTAAACCTTCTTCTGTACTTGAAATACTCGGTGAGCCTAAACGTATTCCTTGTTTTCTTAATGGTTCGATATATTCTTTCCACAATCGAGCAGCTTCATACGGATCCATATTTGCTTGATCCGATCGTTCAGGTTCATTAAAACCTAAAATACATTCAACATGTTGAAAACGAACTTTTTCACCGAATTCTTCTATTCCATGAGCATTCCAAATCATTGGAATAAAATTCATATTTGTATGCAATTTTTTATCAGGAGACCAATTGTAAAACCAATGAATTCGATCTGATGGGAAAACGTTCAAATGATCTTCATGATTTTCTAATGGCCAAGCAATTCCACGTTTTTTCGACATATCTTCAATTGAAATAGAAATCAAGTATGGAATTTTCAATCAAAATATTTCTTGATATTTATATTTGATTATTTATATCTTTATTCTGTTCTCACGTCATTGGTGGAGAAAAACGAGAAATGCGTTTTTTCACACAAATGTCGTCATACGATGAATAACTTCATGGTGTTTTTCGCACAATAATGTGAAAAAGTTATGAATGAATATTATGTTCGAAAAGAAGAGCTTTAATTCAATTCATTATTCTATTATTTCAACTATGCCTGTTGATCTTGAATTTATCAATCGATTACAACAATCAATAAATCTCGTAGCAACCAGAAATAATACACAATCAGAACAAGTAGCAATAATTCCATCTGGGTAATCAAATGTATTAGAATACAATATCATATGAAACATTCTTTTGTCGTTTAGTGGGTCATTTACGTATAATTTACCCGATGGTTGGTCAGGCAATTTTCGACATGGTATGGGCGGTTCTGGAATAACTCTTTTTGAAATATCTGTTAAAGCTAACGATGGAAATGTTTACTACGATTTGAGTGTTATTGATGGTTTTAATGTACCTATAAAAGTTCAAGCGCCTGACGGGTAAGTTCGTGCTTTTTTTCAATCGAATCTATATCATCTTTTTTTATTTAGAACATACATAGAAGCGCTACATAGTGGAGCACCAAATGCTTATCTTTTCCCTGATGATAATACCAAAACACACGGTGGTCCAGAAGGAAACTTTATAATCACCTTCGAACAATAAACTTTCTTTTTCATTCGTTTAATCTGGAAAATAAAAATCTTTTTTTTTCATCCTGATTTTCATAACATTACTCTCTTTATCAAAGTTAAGTATTAAGATTTATCTATTTCATAGATTGAAATCGAAGTGAAACATTCTCCATACGATGACTAATACTATCAATATCATTAATCGAACTGATCGGTCAACAAAACTCGGATTCTTTCCCAATCTCGGTCCCTATCAACCATCGTTCAACGCTGAAAGAACGATTGATATCGCAGCTGGTGAAAATCAATTAGTTGAACTTGATCACGGATGGGAAGGTCGAATTCAAAAATTAACTGGTGCACCAAATGATCCTGCAACATGGGCAGAAATTCATTTTAATGCTTTTCAAAATATGACATTTGTTGATATAAGTTTAATCAGAGGTTATAATGGTTCATTAGTTTTTACAAGTAACGATGGTTCTTTAAAGACTGGTGTTAAAGATAATCTCTTCTTTAATGCACCGAATCAATTCAAACTTAAAGATTCACAAGGAAATCATGTTCTCGATGCAACAGAACCTTATACAGGTGGACAAAATATGGACTTGATTTCCTATTATCGTAGTAGAGTACCTATTGGACAAGGATATATCGTTCCAGATGATCATTCTAGTTCACATGGTACACAAGATACACATATTAAACTTGAGATTTATTCATAGAGTTTTTTTTATTTTTCCTAACATTTTTCTTTTATTTAAAGAATATATCTGAAACGGAAAATAGATGAGATTTTTCAGATAAGTTGACATTCAATTGAGGCACGACCAAGTAGAAGACTATCAAGTGACAATTTTGAAAGTAACTACATTTATCAGGGTCAAGGAGTTTAGATCCGACGTTTGTCTTATTGTGAATCTTTCCTTTCAAATCTTATTTGCTACTTCTACGAAAGTAAGTGCAAACAACTTTCTCGGAAATGAATAAGTGGATCGAATTATCCATTAGAAGAAATCTTTACTCCATTTGAAGCATGTTGAGGAATAATATCACAATTCTTTTAAAAATGGATCGATAAATTTAAAGGACGGACGTCATTTGTTGATAATTTCTCATTGATAAAATGTCTCATAATGTTTGAATTCGTTTCAAATCGAATCGAATTCTTTGTCAAAAGTTTGATGCAATGTAAAAATGACGAAAAACTTGTTTTTCAACTCATGACATAATTTTATACGAAATTGCCGTTGAAATATTTCTCAATGAATCATAATTTTGGTTCCAGTCGTTTTAGCGTATCATCGGGGGAAGTATTTTTCTTTCCTCAAACATATTTAATCAGTTACGACGCAAAAAATATTTCATAAACATCGAATAACTTGCATAACCAATTGAAAAGAAACAAACAAAATTACTTATTTTTCTTTCCTCTCGTACTCGTAATTAATTAACCGTAGTTAAAAGTGTAAATTTACTGATAAATATCTCATCAAGAGAGAGAAAGAGGTAAATTTTGAAAAACATTATATAACGATCGATAGAATGAAAAATATTTTTCAGTTTTTTTTGTGTTTAGATACTTGTTAAAAGAAACGTTTGTTTTATTGTAAAAAATGACAATTCAACTTATCCGATCGACTCATTTGGGAAATTTTACAATGAAAAGCAATGATCGTTCTGTAAGACAAACTTTGATTCTTATATGAATTGTCTTATATTCATTTGTTTTCTTTCCAAATTAGACAATAAATACAATTCATATTTTAGGAAGTCAAATCAACGATTCGGTTGTTGAATTATTAGATAAAATAATAAATGCAAATTCTGTACGAATTGTTTCACTTTGAAGGAGAAAAAAAAGGAATTTGAATTATTTTTTCTTTTAGAAAATCAATACATTTGCGATTAATGCAAATCAACTTGGACTTATTCAAAGTGGACAATTCGCCAATACATTGGCTCAAAATTTAGTAAATTTATTTGTTAACTCGAAATTGATAGAAAACGCTTTTGTTATAGAATATTCAAACATTTAAACTTGTTCGAGATAATATCGAATCTCCTGATGTTGGAAAATTCGCTGATGCAATACGAGACAGTTCAGTAAGAAAAACAAATTTTGTTTTCTTTTTCTAAAATAAAATTATTGTGATTTATTTATAGAGTATTCATACGTTGAGTATTACTGGGAAAAAAGTGGAGAAAAATAAAGAAAAATCATCGTTTAATATTAATATTGGAAATTATGATATCGAAAGATTAATTGATGCAATTCAAAATAATCCTGTGAGAATTTAACATTCCGAAGAATTATTTCGAAAGATTCGATTTGATTTTGTAGAATATTCATACAGTTAGTGTTGATGGAGCTCTGATTGATCAAGTTTCAGCAGAAAAAATTGCTCGAATTATACGAAATAGTTCGGTAAGACTTGATTTGTATTGAAGATTTGTAGATTTTTGAAACATTCTTAGTATATTCATACTTTTTGTCTCGTTGGAAATGAAATTGGATCATCTCAAGATGAAAAATTCGCCGAAGCAATACGAAGAAATACGGTAAGGAATATTTGAAACGTAAAATTTCTTTTTCTTGGATTTTCTTATAGAGTATTCAAACGTTTTGTCTCGTTGGCGTAAATCTGGGTTATATCGAAGCAAAGGAATTCGCAGATGCGATACAAAATAAAAATGTTTGAAAATTTTCTTTCATTTTATTATTGAAATTGATTTGATTTTGTAGAATAATGATACGTTCAATCTCATTGAAAATGATCTTGGACATCAACAAAGAGAGAAACTAATTAATTCTATTCGAAATAATACAGTAAGACGACTTTTTATCGAATATATTGCAGAGAAATATTTCATTTTTTAGAATATCGTTAATTCAAATGTAAAGAGAACGAAAAAGGTTCGTTTTTGTTATTAAAAAATTCAATTATAAAGAATTTCATTTAGGATTCTCAAACTGTCTCTTCAGTTCAATCAAATGAAAGAAAAAAGGAAACAACTAAACCAATACAAACACCTTCTTTATTAAGAAAATCAAGTAAAAGAAGTTTTTTGTTTAAGAAAGTTCTTTTTCAATTATTTCTTTTTAGCTTCTATGGGAGGAAATCTTGCCAATGGAAATATTCCCATTGGACCGAATCAAAATTATAACTATCCAGCTCAATATTATTATTTTCCATCATTTAATACTCCATTTAATAATAATGGATTTAATCGAACACAATTTAATCGATATAATTATCCGTATTTACAACGAGGAATGTATTTTTATCGTTAACAGACATTTTCATTGTACAATTATGTTTCAATTTGGCTTATTTTTAAATATAAAGATGAGATTCAATGCAATGCTGAACTAATCTTGTTTTCTCAATGAGGAAAAAACGATTTTGTTTCTATAAAGGCTTTTACAGATGAATTCGTTTAAATAAAAACATTTCTTTTTGTTAAAAGTTTATTCTATGTTACGATTATTGATAATGAAGACGATACGAAACAGAATAAGTTAATCAAAAATATTTTATTATCTGAGAAAAAAAAAAAATACCGATTGATGTTGTTAAATTAGTTGATAGTCGAAGAGAATTTGATTATCTTCGAATGAAATATCGAATGGAAAACATAAAAAATATCATTGAATGAATTTGCATCTAAACAATATACAGAAATGTTCTCGAAGAATATTTCGGAAGTCTTGTATTTTCTGGAAAGAAACTGTTGATTGATTTGTTTCATCGAAGATATGAAAATATATTGATTTTATTACCAATTTATCTGATATCATTTCTCAATTCAACTATATCACAAACCATTAGTGTCAAACTTGAAAGTGAAATTCAACCATTGAACTATCTGTTCAAATATTCAAGTACTTCAACTATTTTCGCACTTATCTCATCCTGCACCTTCACACCCTCTAGGGTGGGTTGAGCCCACTCTGGAAATTTTTTCCATATGTTCAGCCCATCCTCAGTGAAAATTCTAATGCCGCCGTTACGATACAGATCCTAGCTTTCTGTTATTCTTCGTCCAGTCTATTAACGTCTAGTGGGCGAGAATCTTTGGTCAGTAAGAGAAAGCTAATAAACTGTTCTCGGTCAAAGTTGACCGAAGAATAATCGAACCAAAAGAAACACTATATCAACGAATATAATTTGGGAATTATTTACATACAAGAGTATTTCTACAAGAATGCGCTGAGAGTTTCTTACGTAAGAAACGCGTATCAAATGAACAACTTTCTTCTGCTAAAAATGAGGTTAAAACAGATATGAATAAATTCCGTTACATATTTTTATTGTTAAAAAGAAATCTACTATAGTGTTTTTAAAATATCAATTCTTTTATATGATTGGTCAATCTATTTATGTAATAATGAGCTCCTTTCTAAAAAATCTCATCTTATTAAATAAAACTGAATGAAAATCTTTATTTTTTGTTAATAGCATTACGAATGGCCACGCCAAAGTCATGAGCTGATGCGGGATTTGCACCAAGAATAACTAGGAAACGAAAATTTCAAAGAAAATGAGTCTAGAAGATGAAAGAGAAACATACGTTGTCCATCAACAGTAACATGTGCTCCCCATGGTTTTTCATTTTTCTCAAATTTTCCTCCTAATTCTTTCAAACGTGTTTCAAGAAGAAATGGAATGGCATCGGTTAATTTGATTTGTTCTTCTTCTTCATTCCCAAATGAAGTTACTTTTCTTCCACTAACAATTGGTTTACCATTTTCATCTTTAACATTAACTAAAAAACAACAACAAATATTCAATCGGAATAAAATTCTCTTTTACCAATCGCTCCTGGGCCATGACAAACAGCTGAGACAATTTTCCCTTGTTTCCAAAAGTCTTCAGCCAATTGAATATTTGTCTTATCTTCTGGTAAATCAAACATTGGACCATGTCCACCAACATAAACTATCGCTTCATAATCTTTTGCATTAACTTCACTTAATTTTTTCGTATTTTCATAACCTTGTTTGGCTTTTTCATCTGCTAAAAATTGTTTACATTCAGCATCATCTTTGAAATTTTCAACTGAAGAAGGATCTAGTGGAGCTTTTCCTCCCTTTGGACTTGCCCATTCGATGGTAAAATGAGGTTCTAATACATAATATGGATGAGCTGCCTTTAATAAAGAAAGTATCATATGAATTTCAATGAAGTTTCATTTCGATTTACTTCTGGTAAATACCAACCAGTGGGATGTCCATTAGGAAATTGTCCATGAGATGATAAAATAAATAGAATCTTCTTCGTCGACATATCGATGCACTGAATGATTTTCGTTTATCTAAAACACGTTCGTGTGTTTCGCTTGACGAGTTTTGTACTTCTGAGCGTTATGATGAAACAGAAAAGAAAGAAAAAAAAACATTTTCTCGTTCGTTTTGTATTCTGAGATCGATCAAATTTTTCATTTATTTATTCTCAATTGTCACTCGAAAATTTTGTAGGGAACTTTTCGATTTTGTCTAATGTGAAATTAAATGCTGAAAAGAAGAAAATATCGTGGCTTTTGTACGAGTTGTGAAAGCATTTTTAAAACTAACCCTTCAGCTTTCAGTTGAAATGACATCTTTGCTGTCGAATGAAAACGATTCGCTGAATCTTTGGGAATCAAGAATATCTGGAAATATTTAATGAAATCAAACCAAATGAAATAATGAAAGTTTTTTTATAGTCATCATCATAAAAATGAGATGATTCAATGGAGAGGCAAATAATACCGAAAAATGGCTATTGATAATTTCTCAAAACGCAACTATTAACCCTACAATATAGATTTTATTGATTATCGATGTCATAAATGTTGATGACATAGTTATGTATTATTCAGCTCTGACATGAAAAGAATACTGAAATTTGAATAAAGAATGATTATTCACCATTGATATAAATTTGTCCTTCTAAATAAGTTTGACATGTTCCACTGATCAAAACTCGATCAGTTAAATTTTCGCAAAAGATTTTACCAATTCGTTTTGATATTTGTAAAGCAATCATTGTTGTTTTTTGTAATTGTTCACTCCAATAAGGAATCAGCGAACAATGTGCTGAACCAGTGACAGGATCTTCAAAAATACTTGATTGAGGAGTAAAAAATCTCGAAACAAAATCAATTTGATCATTATTTTCATTGGCTTTTGCAGTAACAATGATTCCTCCAGGATCAAGATTTATTTCATTTAGAATTTGTTCATTTGGTCGAATATTTCTTATTATATCTTCATTTTCATAGATTAAAATATAATCTCTCGATTTCAATGTTTTCATTGGTTTTCTTCCGATTCCATTGAGAATCACTTCAGGTAACTCAACTTCAATAGGCATTCGTGATGGAAAATTCAGAATAATCAAATGACTTTGTTTTTCAACAATTAATTTTCCACTATTGGAATTAAAAATNAGTGTTCAATATCAATCAAGTTTAACTTTTCTCAAAGGTTTGGTGATGATTGGAATTTGACAAAGAGAAGAATTTTATTGATTTGTATAGATTTTGATTTATTTGAACAAAGTTTATTAACTCCAACACGAGCACAATCAACAAGAAAAATTCTTTTCATTGCCACCATCTTTTGGATCATTGCATTTCTTATTGCCTTTGCTTTTTCAATACTTTATGCCATTCGAAATGAAATGAAAATTTATAAGAGAAAGTTGAAATAAAGAAGAGGATTATGTAGATTTCGTTACTTTTATAGTTAAATTGAATGTGATATCGGATAAATTGGTTCTTTTGTTTTGTTTTATGTAAGTTTCAATCGCTTTTCATTCATGAATCGGTTAATTTGACAAAAATGAGTAATTTTCATCGTCATTCGACACGAAATCTTCATTCAAACGAAATGGATGATTTTCACGGACATGTCGATCCATTTCTCAATCTGAAATTCGAATAAATACACGAAAATCTATTTTATTCACTGACAAAAGTTTCTTTTTCTTTCGTATTGGATCGTTCATTCTCCAATAAATACTTATCTTCAAGGAAATCATCCATCGATGAAGAGGTTAACAAGACAATTTTAACACGGAGATTCTTTTTTCATTTCTTGACAGAGACAGGAAAAATCTGCTGTGAGTAAATAAATGTTGGTCAAGATATTCGTCGAAACCTTGATCGAGATAACCAGTTTAATATAGGTATCGTTGAGAGAAGATAAACTTAGAGACACGACACTTGAGAAAGAATATCTTGAACACATTTCTATCTCAATCTTCGATGATTTTTTTTAGACACTTTGAGATTTGTTTTTCTGGTAGTACCAGATGAATCTTTTTTCTTTTCTGACTTTTAGATTGTCTTCAGCTAGGTACCGACTTGAAACATTGTTGTCTTTCGGTGATACCCAGAACGATGGTTCCCGACTACGGATACGCACAGAACCTGCTGAAAATCATGCTTTTACAGGGGTATTCCGGACGGTTTCAGCTAGTTCCAAAAGATTCCAACCGAAAAACACAGGAGAATGGAAGCAGTATTCCGATCGGATCCGGCTCGGATTTTTCGACCTGGGATAAAGTGAATCAGTTCGAGAAGAATAATATGAATTTTGATGTGATGATCTTCAAGAAAGAAGGTGTGTACAATACCGCTGAAGCAAAAGGAAAGTGTCATTCGTATATCATATGCGTCGGGATATAATGTAAGTGTAATTTATTTTGACAAGAATATGAATTTCGTTTCCTTTTTCGATTTTAGTTATATCACTTTGGTTGTTTCCCACGTTAGCGACGCGATATTGTTTTTTTCTCGGTTTTTAAAAATAAACTCAAGTCATTGCAACTGATATGTCATAAGACAGATGAGAAAATCCTATTTTTTCCAGCATGAGTTTCATTTAATCTCGGCGAAGCATCGCGTCGTTCGATGCCAAGTGGAGTGCGATTCAATATGCTAGTCGAGTCAAATGAATTGAAATTCAGATTTATAAATAACTTGTGCTATGTTACTGGTGCGTCAGGGGTTAACTGATGCTCATCCGAGAAACAGATCGAACAGACGCAAGGGTTTCGCAAGAATATCCTTGTTCGCGATTTGACAACACTAGCCAATGAAGTCAAAGNCATACTGATCGAAAAGCAGACAGCAATGCATCAACAAGTACATAATCAAACAACGCATCTTTTCATTCTTTTTTCCTAATCCAGCTTTGATAGATTTTGTTTGTTTGTATAATGAAAGAGTGTGTTCTCATTTATTGTGTTATTCATAAAGATGATAAATGAATAAACAAGCGGTATTTTGAAACAATGTTATCAACACATACAAATGAAATCTTTCTTGATGATAAAGAAGAAGAAGAAGAATGTGTCGAATATTGAAAACGATTGGTTGATGTTTTATAAACGACGACCACGTCGACCACCTTTTCGTCTTGTACTGTCTGATGGAACTGGTGTGACATCCTCTGAAAAAGTCAAAACCGAGAGATGAAGAGACAAAAAAAATGGATGTGAACAACGAACCGATTCTTCCGATTTTGAGACCAGATCGAGCAAGAGCACGAAGAGCTGATTGAGCACCAGGTCCAGGTGACTTAGTTTTGTTTCCACCAGTTGCACGAAGTCGAACATGGAGAGCAGAAATACCTAAACCTCTACAACGTTCAGCAACATCTTGTGCAGCTAACATAGCAGCGTATGGTGAAGCTTCATCACGATCAGCTTTGACTTTCATTCCACCAGTGACACGAGCGATTGTTTCTCTGAAGGAAAGGAAAAGAAGATGAGCATTTTGGAAATATTCATCAGAGTTGAATCCTTACTTTCCTGAAAGATCAGTGACGTGAACAAAAGTATCATTGAAACTTGCATAAATATGAGCAACACCAAAGTTGAGTTCTCCTTCAGCTATTTGAGGACCCAAACTAACTTGTTCTTGTTTAGCTACTTGTTGACCTTTACGTGGACCCATGATTTTCTAATCGTTTTACTGAGAAAATAAATAATCTAAAATGGGAAAAAAAGAATTCTTCAAGATTTTCAAAGACAAAACAAAAAAAAGAAATGGATTTTCTTATTGAATGATTTATGGAAATGAGCCAATGAGATTCTTTGTTCAAATCTTCGAAACATTCCTCCGAATGATTTGACGAAGAAAAAAATTTTGAAAAATCTTCAATAGAAATTCTTTAAAAGATTTTTTAAGGTAAGATTTTGATTGAAATTTCTCGAGAAAAGATGTCGCTAGATGAACGAGAGTTTCGTTGGCTCGACCAATTCTTATTGAGAAAATCCAATTTTCTCATAGAAATGTTTGGTAAATCGATAATAGATTTCGTTTTTAATGGATTAATTCTTCATTTGGTTGGATTAGATTTGATTGGAATAGGAAATGTTCGTTTAGTGCTGATTTATCGATTGATTGTGTTTCTTCCTCGAGATTTTCTTCGATTTCAAATACGAAATATTCGGCAAATTCATTCGGTTTATCATTTCATCAATTTGATTTGGTTAATTTTGTCATTTGGATGGATTCTCATTTCGTTACTATTCGTTTTCTTGTCAGTTTGCCGATTTGATCAATGTCATACATCGACTTTATTTTACAATTCCGCGTCTTTTCTTTATTTCTTGTCAAGTTTTATCGAATTACTCTCTGAGCCATTGTATTTATTAAGCATTTTCACGAAGAACGAATCCATTCATGAATTTATTCAAATCTTTGCTTCAATAATCGGTAAAGCTGATTTTCCTGATAATTTGTAACATTGTTTTGATTTATCAATAGGATTTGGTCTTCGAACGTATTTAATTTCTCAAAATCCTGACAAATGTTTAATTTATTTTGGATTTGGTTATTTAATATATTCATCAATAATAGCCATAAGTTATTTTGGATACTTTTTTCTGCAAACTCAATCGAAGCGTCGTGAAATCTTTTTGATTTCATCGTTATTCGATTTAGTCTTCAAACCGGTTTTTCCTTTTCTCAATCACAAGTATCTTTCAAGTGAAATGAAAGAATTTCTCAGCGAAAAACTCTTCAGAGAAAGTCATTTTTATTTGTTTATCATCTTTTCTCTTGTGTCAGATGGTCAACAAGGAATCTTTTATTTCATTTCGATCTTTTCATCTCTTCTTTCTCCAGCAATCGAACAAATCTCTTTAAATTATTTCCAACGAACTTTCTCTCTGATCAAAACCACTAAAATCACATCGAAAGGTATTCGAATTTAATTGAACTTGTTCAACAAATGTAAATTTGTTTTATTTTAGATGAACGAACGATGATATTGAATAGTTTAACATTATTAAACAATTTTCAAAATCTTTTTGTGAAATTGTTTGGATTAATAATGATATTTGCGTTTTCATTTCATTATCAAACATTAAATTTATATTTAATTGCAGTTTTGTGTCAAGAAATAAATTTATTCAATGAATCTTATGTAAAATCAATGCAAATCATTCGACCGATAAAATTTTATGAGAATTTTAATATTTTCTCTTCAATTATTTATTGTTTATTAAGTTATTTTTGTTTAAAAGAATATTCTTTACCTGGATTTCTTTTTCTTAATATTTTCACAAATATTTTTCGAATATTTTTTCATCGAAATCTCATTCATCGATATTTAATTCCAATCTCATGGAAAAGCATCTCATCTGTATCAATCGAATACATTTTAATCTTAATTTTCTCCTCGATTTTCTGTCATTTTAGTCAACATTTCTGTGAAACAAATATTCATCATCTGATTTTTCTCTTTGGTTTATTTCTCACGATGATTTGTTTAATTTTAGTAGAAGAAAAACCTGTTCTACATTATATTTCTTGTGTATATAAATTAAATTCTGTTCCTTTTGAAAATAAATGCTTTTGATGTGTGTGACGAGAAGAGAAATAGATGTCGTTTGTCTCTCAGAAGAAGATTTCTTGAAAAATGAACGTATTCGTGAGTTTTTCTCGTCAAATAAGTCTTTTATTAGTCAACACGATGACGCATAATCACGATAGGAGAAAACTTTTTTATTCCTTCTTATCTCCAAATGCTTGTGAGGGGTTTCTCAGTAGAAGAATCAGAGAGAAAAACACATCATTTGTGAGATAAATTCCTTTTTTTGAGACTTGTTTTCAAAAACAATGTCAGAAAATGTTGATCAACGTTTCCAATGTAAGTCAATTTCTTCGATCTTATTCGAATTTGCGTCTTTTGCTTTGCAGATCTTGGTAATCTTCCATTATCGAATGTTCCAATTTGGAAAATAATCTTTTCTTCAACATTATTTCATGTGATATTCTTTCAAATTATTCCATCGAGAATTCAGCCATTAATCAAAAGTTACATCATTTCAACATTTCACGCGATCGTCTCTGTTCTCAGTGTGACTTTTTATTTTCTAAAATATGAAATTAATTTTAAACAAATCAATCGACTTGTAGGAGGAGGAGTGTTTGGTACAGGTGATGAATTCATGGTTTATAATGTTTGTTATTCCATTGGATATCTTCTCTATGATCTAATTTTAATGATTTTTTATAAATCTGTTCGATCGGCATCTGCAGTTGTTCATCATATTTTGATCATCATATCATTTCTCATTGGTTTATTTACTCAAGTGTGTCATCCGTGTCATTTCTATTTCTTAGCAGAAGAATTATCGACAATTCCATTGAATTTGAAAACGATTTATCGAACTCAACATCGATTTCATAGCATATGTTCGATGTTATTTGTGATTTTCTTTTTTCTGAGTCGTTTAATCTTTGGATCCATCATTTGTTTCTATGGATTCCGTGCCGCACCTCAATTTTTTCAATTAGCTTGGCTAAACGATGACAAATCTTCGTTTTTAGTTGGTTTAATCCAAGCATTTCTGTGTATTCTTAGCCGTGCCTTGAATTTCTATTGGGCTTACCTAATTTATCGAAAGATCTTTCCAAGCAAATCGAAAGAAGATTAAACTTTCTTTTTATTTCGAATGGCATAAAATATTGAAAAAGCAAAGGCAATAAGAAATGCAATGATCCAAAAGATGGTGGCAATCAAAAGAATTTTTCTTGTTGATTGTGCTCGTGTTGGAGTTAATAAACTTTGTTCAAATAAATCAAAATCTATACAAATCAATAAAATTCTTCTCTTTGTCAAATTCCAATCATCACCAAACCTTTGAGAAAAGTTAAACTTGATTGATATTGAACACTCGAACCAAAACAAAACGAACAAGTCTTCTCCGAATGAAATGTTTCTCGACAAGTTCGATTTCTTCTGTAGATTGTTTCATTGACTCGGTTCCAAGTTGAGAATGGAGACCACGAACAACTTTGATTTGAATTCGTTCGACGTTCTAAAATTTATTTCTCGAAAGACATGTTTTTCGTGAATTCGGAGAACTTACGACAATCAAATCCGTTAACAAAGATTTGAAGACATTTCTCATTGAAATTATCCAATTGATCAAAACAACGAATACAATGAGTGTGAAATCCACATTGTTCCACAAGTCGTGGTGTCCATTCGAATTGTATTTGAATTTGATCTTCGATCGTTGTTTCAACAATTGATTTCACTTTCCAATGAAACGCACTGACCATTGAACATTCATTCATTTCGATGTCACATTGACTTTGAGAAATCAAGTCGATTTGAATGGATTCGTTAAATAATGTGTAAATTAAATCACTTTCAACATTTAAAAAAGTGATCGAAGGAATTTTCAGACATTGACCGGTTTTATTTTCATCGTTGAGATATCCAATGATCTGATAGGGTAAACGAGAACGAATTTGATCTTTTGCAGAATTTGTGTATTCGATAATTTCGATTTTGATGAGAATTTGGTGGTGTTGAGNGGAAGCAGTATTCCGGCTACCGAATCCTTTCATCGCATTTAAAAGGTTTTATCGGGAACCAGCAAGAACCCGCCATAACCATTAGTCGGATACGGTTACCAGTTCCTTCAGTGGGATTCCGAGTATTTTCTCGTGGTTTCCAGCGCGGATACTATAAATATCCTGCGGGTTTTCACGGGAAATAAGCGGAATACTGCTTCCAGGAACGATCGTCCTGGGTATGTATCAGTAAAGTCTCTGAATAGGAGTTCCAAATAAACAGTCAAATAAATTCGAAAAATCCATTTTCTTATTTATCACTGCAAATAAGACCAAACCGGCTACCAAATGATCATTGTTCATTTTGAATAACAATTTAATAAACACTAGCTGCCGTTCTAACTGTATTAGTTTGCAAATGAGTGTTTTCATTGAGTAAGACATCCTTAAAACGAAAAAATTCACAAATTCGACTTCGACTTGAATTGATTCGATCATAACCATCGCAGCTTGCAACCCGTAGACAATTAAAAGATTTTATTTGTCAAAATGTACGTGGAAAATTCTACTGATCCTTCAACGATTTGTTCCATAGTTGGTAAATATCGAGAATCGAAGCTTATGTCCGACGTTGTAGCTTCCACAGCAGCAACATGAGAATAAGTTCGTTTTTCTCTGATCTTCTTTCAAGTTGGATCGAAGTTCGATGATGAAGGACGAGGTAAGACTAACATATTAAAACGAGGTGGAGAGGTCAGATTGGCAGATTTTCTTGGAAAACTACCGGATCCTAAAATAGAAGAATATGAACAGATAAAATAATCAAGCGTTCGAACTAACCCATTAGATTGATTTCGATAGTTTGATCGATATCTAAATGAAACGAATTTAGCAAGCAGACATACGCAACTAATTCCAAGTGAACAGAGAAATAGTTGTCATTTCGACGTAAGAACAGGAATTGAATTGGTTAATTCATTTTCAATGAAATCAATGTGCTTGACTTCGCAGAAAAAGAGAGAGAAAACTCATTGACATTTTCTCGTCCGTTACTGATGTTTCAGTCCGAAACGACATATATATCTACTCTATGCATTCTCATCTTGTATTCTGATCAATCACATCAATGGCTGAAAAAATCGACGTAGGCTTTTTCTGTTTCATCAGTTTTCTAATTGTTTCATTCGTTATCTTTTGAAAATTCTCTGTTCTTTGAAATATTTCTTTGCAGGATGATGAGCAACAACGGCTGAATGACTTTGTGCAGAAGCTGTTCGAAATGAAAAAGGCTGGCATTAGTATCAATGATAAGATAGAAGAACTTGCTGATCAATATAACATTCCACATAAATGCTTTGGCGTCTTTATCAGCTGTTCTTTTTTGAAATAAAAAATTCCATGAAAGAAAGAATGAAATGTCGGAGATACTTCATAAGAGAGATTGATTGAAGAGGACGAACTTTGAATACTGCACTTTGTTTCTTTCGAACTAAATTGATTTCTTCTCGATTTTGTTAAGACTGAGGCCCAAGAAATTTCATTGACTGACAATTGAATTGGTCTTTTGAACGTTTTTGATGATGCCATTATGGTATGATTCAAATTGGAGGTGAACTATCTTCTATTCCCTATTGAACTAAACAAAGGATTTTCTCCTTGGTTCACGTTTTACATTGTTAAATCCTCGAGAAATCGTCAAAGCAAAGGAAAATTCTTCTGAAAAAATTATGCTAAAGAGATTCACTTCTATCCCTTGAGATTAATTCGTCATAACTGCAGAAAGAAAAACAAATTATCGTTCAAAATCCGATTCGATTGAGATTGTCTAGTCTGAGCGATGATCCGAGAAATCGACTGATAAAGAAGAAGGAGATTGACTCACTCTTTGAAAGCAATCGAATTTTCTTCTTTTAAATCATTTGGATTTTCATCAAAATCAATGAAATGAGAGACAAAAAGAAGATGAAGATTTTTCATTTCTAATCCATTGTCTTATTGATCTTATACCAATCAAATTCGCTTTGAATTGTTTATGTTACCTTATGTGTCATTTTTAGGACAATTTCATTCATTCGTTCGACCAAATAGATAAATCAGTTAAAAACCAATTTCTTTCTCTTTCATTTCGAGAAAAAGTTTTTGGATGTTTGATTCTTTAATCAATGGCATTTGCTNAGGTAAGAATATGGGGCGAACTACTGGAAGCACGATGTTACGAAGTGGAGGCAAAGTATGGAAGGGCATGCGGGTTAATTCTAATTTACTCATGTCTGCATGCAGGAAAATGGGCTTGGATATTTCGAAACGAGCCGCATTCAATGTGGTGAAGGGTGCTACAGTCGTTGTCGGTGCAGTTTTTATTGTCTGGGACATAAAGTCTTTGGCTGATAGTCTTACTAGTGATCATCCTGCTGCCGAACCTGTGAAGACGCAAATTAAAAACATTGAGCAACTGTTGGAGAACTTGACAGAGCTGAGAAGCTCTTTTTACGAAGAAGACGATGACTAAACTTGTGAAAACCGGCGTATCTTTTTTATGCAGTCTTTGTTCAAGTTTGATTAGTTCGAGGATATGTTGAAAGGAAAATGGTGTTAAAGACAGTTTGTTTCTTTCATGTAGAGAGCATCACAATATGCATAGCTATACACCGATCGTAATCTGCTACAATTCAAAGAAGAAGAACAATATAAGATCGCTCCGCCAAATTCATGGTTTTTTATTCCAACATTTAGCTGGTGGTAATCGATTCAAATCGGTCTGTCCCATTTTCACTGAGTATACCCGATTCGAAAGACTATCATAACTCGCTCGAGTTGCATTCGTTCTAAACTTCTTTTGAATACGAAAGTAATGTTAGACATCAATCCATGAATTAAGTTCGAATAAATAATGTCTTATTTTTGAAATATACGACGATAATGAATGTTCAGTGCTACGGTTGCTAATAAAATATGTATTGTTTGACAGGCTATATTCTTTTAATCAGCTGAAAAATCAAATGTTAAACCTGAATTTGGTGTAATAGCTGCTTATTCACACAATTTGAAGTCTTTGCCATAGGCAAGAAATCTAGAAATGCTTAGTTTTTCCGTATTTCGAAATTAAGTGTAGATTTAAAATCCACCTCATAGTAAGTTTTCATGTTTCAATATACTATAGGTGGTAAATTTGGTATTTTACATAAGAAACCGTGGAAGTATTCGATAGCTAATTCGGGTGTTGGGAATGTTCTAATAAGTAACATCTGAAGAGTTAGTGAAGTATGTCTACGCAAATTTCGTGCTTGCAATGTGCGAAGAAAGTTAATATAGTTCCATTTAATTTTTATGAATTTGAAGGAGTTGACGCTGAGGCGGAAGTATTCAAAATTTGATGCTCACATCCTCACCCGAGATGCAAACGCATAGTGCACATGTCTACGAATTTCGTTCAAGACGATTTATTTTGATATTATATATAAAAGATATGCATTTTGTAAATTAGCGATACGTCACCTGTGGTAAAGCTATCGCCAGAGGTTCGACCAGAACTTTTCGATGCGATCGTTCACATACTAAGCACAGTTTCCGTTTCAGCGTTCTGCGTAAATCCGGATATTGACATAAAGATGCAAATGGAAACAGAAACACAACGAAATAACCAAAGTAGAAGAAATAAAGCTCAGGTTGAATACCAAAGTCAGATGGTAATCCAAATCGACGAAGAAGTGGAATGAAGAAAATCGGAGTGTTGAGAGAGACATCTAGAGCAGAAACTAAAGTTAATTGAATGATCATTCGTCGTTGTTTCGACCACCGGTTCGATTGACGAAGTCGACGCTTCTGTCGAGTAACACGAATCACCAGAGCGATGCTGAAAATACCTTCGAATACAATGGGAACACAGCTATTACCGATGGATTCCCACATTCCAAAGATACTATACGACTGATAGCATGGAGATGCTCCACACACAGGCACGGTGTAAATATATACGTTTTCACACGGTAAAAAGAAATTAACAGTTGTGTAGAAAATAAGAATATATACTAAGAGAATTGATAACGGGAGATAGTGAAAAAGGAATCGACCTCGTCGATTAGAGATCCATTGATCATAGAAGATCAGAATGTGTCTCTCGATGGCTAACCAGGACATGAGAATAATCTGTCCACAATAAAAACCATAATCAATCAACCACCATATTCGACACATGATGGGTATTGTGGGTAAAATAGTACCAAAATGAAAGAAGACAAGATACATGTTGATATCGATGAGTTGAATAGGTAGACCAAACAATAAGATAAGAAGAATAGTGTGATTATGCAATGCATATCGTTGAGTTCGATTTCCGATGATGTAAAATATGAGAGAAAAGGTACAGATGATTGATGGAACATTAGCGAGGAGCATCAACCAAAAGCGAAGTACACGAGGCATTGACACTTCCGCATTGACAAATGCACTATCAGCATTCGTACCAGAGGCATTGTTATTGGACATCAATAAATGTTTTGATTTTGTGATAACTTATACCTAAACATGAACAAGCAGCGGATATTTCAAATTCAAATAAAGAGTCGTGATGTGCCAAGCATAAACAACGCGTTAATTCATTTTCTATGCTATTTTATATGTCATATAATTAGTACTTTAAAACTCTTGGTTTCTGCACTTTCATTACAAAGAATATTTATAAGTGCGTTAATTACTCACGATAACTCGTACTGAAGAACTATGAAACTATACACTTTGAATGCATCTTAGCATTTACTACTCATCGAAAAATCTCTTTCGACCGAGATATGAGAAAGTCTTTCTCGTCGTTTAGTCAATGTTTCACAAAGTAAAGAAGTCTTACGATGTTCATACCACCTATGGACCATTGACAAAGAAAGGACAAAACTATCTGTTTTTTCTTTTTCTTAAAGAAGATTATATTTCTTTTTCAGGGTTTCAGGAAGTAAACTATGAATGACAGCCAAGCTCTGTCCTTTCCAAGATTAAAGCTGACACCTCTCTCATTGTAAAAGACGGATAAACTAGTCGCTCTAGGTGAATACTCTTAATTTGATTAGATGTTCACTTTCTTCATCATTCGCCATGTATGCAGAATAAACCGGTCTATTTCTTTAAAAAATCGTTTTTCCGATTTGTTTTGGAGTACACATTTCCGATATGTTCAAGAAAACATTTTTAATAAAGGAGATCTTTGTAGCAGAAAATATCAAATTCTGGTTGATCATCAGATAAAAGGTCAGGAAGATGCCTGAGGCTTTTCTGAAAAAATCTCTCGAAATCCTTTCATGCTGAAAAATGCAGAAACGCTCCAGCTGAAAGTCTTCAGCTTCGAGGACGGGTGTCAAACTAATAACATTGCCTACGTAACTCGAAGAAAACATTATCGAATTGTCTCAATAAAACTCGTTACCGCGTAAGGACAAGCATATGTTTACATAAAACCGAATGATTATCATAATCTGTTGTTTTTCAGATCGTATTCCAATTACCGATATGCTATATTCCTTTAGTTTCGAGCTTCGAGAAAAAGTTACTGTAGAAAAGTTCGCTAAACTTGTTCCTGACGTATGTTTCACATCTGACAATTGACGACGGTTCTCTGAAGAAAACATGAATAAGAAGCCAATATTTCCCTCTAAGTTAAACATAGGGGAAGCTTTCATTAGAAAAATTTCAAAAGTGCTCTGTCCTGTAAATAACTAATCCTCATATAAGAAGCATATGAGCGATTTTATCAGCTGACGCCATACTGAATGAAGATCACTACAAAATTATGACTTTACAGTTTCACAACCTATCCTATTAGCAAAAACTAGATTCGTTTTAGTTCCGATGTACAACAACTTCAAAGCTTTTACAGCTACTATTCAGCAATCAAGAAGCCTATCCGTTAATATGACAGGATAAATATTACAACTTCTTTTTCATATTTTCTAAATTTTTCTTCTGCAGTAAAAGGTGAAGATGGTTTGGTGATAGTAACTATTTAGCAATTTCTATGCTACATTCAAAAAATAAGTGCGCTTTTAAATAAGCTCTCATATCATAATATACACCACTGACGCTGATGTAGGATAAGGCCAGATGGGGATGATTTCCAAGAAGTGACTGCTGTAGAATTGGACGAGCCTTCTCATGATACTCGAGTGCTTTTTCGAAGAGCTCTATTGCTTCTATAATAAAACAAGGTCTGTCAATGAACTGCTCTATGTTTCTATGAAGGTCGCTGATAAAAAAGAGTACCTCGTGTATACCACCAAATCAGTTTCTTTTCGCGATAATTGCGCACAAGTTGTACAACATCATTCAATCGTTTATCGTCAAGACTTAATAGTCCAGGACAAGACTTGACGAACTCTACAAAATATTTGTTTTCGAAATCGATGGTTAATAGTATCTCTTTGAAGAGTTGTGTGTACATAAACGATGGATCGAGCTGATCTATTCTTTGCCCAGGTGCTACGAAACCCATTGGTATAGCATTTTGCTCGTATCGACGAAATGTACCTTGACAAAGTGATGTTGCATCAATCAAGATACCCTTGATCTTCTTCCAGTCTTTGTTCCATTGTTCATGAAATGATTTGTTTTCACGAAAAATAAAAAGACAATCCAGTCGTGAAATATCATGGATACAAGGCACAAGAGACTGTCCGAGTGACTCGGAAATGATCAAATACACTTCACTGTAATTGTCATTCAGTATGCACTCGACACATTCATCATTGTCTGTAAATGCGTTGAAGTTGATTAATTGTAAGCTGGTAATATTCGTTGTGCTAACCAGATTACACTGACATGTTTCATCTTTTCGATAATTGTGTGCCATTTCAAAGTGACGATTGTTCTTGTAGTCGCCATCGATTCTGCTTGCTATATGTTGATATTATTTGTTAGTCTGTTTCGCAATGCGTCTGATCATGAGATAAAAGAAATAATTTAGTCGGTAGCTATTTCTATTTTCTTTATTTGCAATTCGAAGAGTCCAAAGTCGATGACAAATATAAATGTCAGTGTATGTACATCTGACTAAAATAATTTAAAGTTCTTTTCCTTGTGTGACAGCTTGTTCATGTGTTTAACAAATCTTCACAAGCTGACAAGAATGACAGAAAATCCGAATGGAATCATCAAGAACAACAATTCACTCGTCGCCTATAGACATGATTATGGATGTCGTGATGTAGGAACAATGCGCTGTTGTTTCTTTTCAAAGTCCAACCATCGACGATAATCAATCATATTGAATAATTTCTCTTTCACATGTGGTATGGTTGTAAGACATGTGATGGGAAGAAAAATACAAGTTCCATATCCTACATAAGCTAAAATAAATTCTTGAATATTCTCGGCGATTAATTCAACGTCAAATATTAAATAATACAACGGACTGATGACATCAGGTATATTGAATGCAGTTGAAAGAAAAGATATGCTTAACAGTTGTAAAATCATTTTTCGATTTCGCCGCCAGTGAGCTCCTTGTCGACGTTGGAAAACAACACGTAAAATCAAAAGTATACTAAGAAACACCTCAAGAAACATCGGAATAATTTCGTGCGCAAGATATTCGTAGATAAGAATCCAACTAGCAGCATAATTTTGATAACACATAAACCCACACCAGCCAACTTCATAATCAAAGTCATTTTTACAAGGATATAAGAATATGAAATAAACATAATAAACCAATGAATATATTAAAGTACATACCAATGGCAGGTAATGAAATATAAATTTTCCTCGTTTTGTCCGTACCATGTGTGCATGAAAGACAAGAATATGACCTGTTAAGAAAAAAAAACAAATACATTATAAACTATTCTGCAGTATCAACTAAATTTTTCTCTGAAAAAATCTGTTTATTTCCAATTTCGGAGTCGAGCAAAATAGCTTACGCTCGAATGAAGCCCAAAGCATAATAATAAAACTGGTATAGTATGCCCAATAGTTCATAAAATTCCAGAAATAGCATGTTGCTGGCGTTGCTGGGCGTATGATTCCTTGATGTAACCAAGAAAGAACTAGTGACAAGTCGAAAAACAATTGGAAACTATTGGACAATAGTAAAACAATTATAACATGATTGTTCAATGATTTTCGTTGAGTTTTGTTCGTGAGAATGTGAAAGAAAACGAAGAAATAGATTGGCCATGAAAATATTTGTAAAACTTGCAAAACAATATATTTAATACGAATAATTTCTGGTGTATTTAGGTCATCAGGAATGACTGAAGTGGTGTTGTCGGCCATACCAATTTACAAGAATTTTTTCTTTCTTAAACGCGAGATCTTTATACTGGTAGATGTTTTGCCTCAGGAGGCTTTCCGTCTTAAACAGAAACATGGCAAGTACGGGCAGATTTTGCATTTTTCAATTATCTCAAAATAGATTTTGGAATTTTCTTCTCTCTTGACAAGCTCTTGGATATCAATACTCTTCTTTTTAAGACATAAGATCAAAGAAATATCCGATGCTCGGATAAATCTTTTACTAAATTATTTTTCAATTTCTTGTTTAATGTCATGCAGAAAGGAAGATTGAAAGAACTTGTTTGATGATGACATGCTTCGACATACGTGCGCCATTGCGTCTCCGTGTTAGGCATCGGTGTACATCGAAATGTTTTGTGTGCAAAATATCTCAAATGACAATGATTTAATTAAGATTGCTGCAACGCACATTTCGATTTGCAATTTGTAGATTTCGAAGTTCGTGGGTAGTTCAATCGATAGAGATACAGGAAAGACTGCGGCGAAGACTTTAGTCTTAGTTACTATTTCTCTGATATTAAATAATTTATTTTTTAGATCTACCGTTGTCGCTATTATCGTGCTTCTTATAACATTTTGATATTTTTTATATAGAAGATCTCACCGGGGCCTCTCAAGACAACTTACTTTCCAAAACTGTAGTTTTATCAGTATTGTTTCACCTGATGCGAATATTAACAGTCTACTCCAAGATCCGAATCAAGAGTGTTACGAACTGGAAACCATGCCGTTAGTATTAAGGCGAGATAATCTTCAACGAATTACTTAAGAAGTTGCACAAATAGTAGAAAAAAAACAAAAACCTTTTTGTAATTCAGAATGAACACTTTTTTCAAATAAACGTCTATTTATTCGATGTTAAAGCCAATGTACAGGTGTCATATCCATTATTATTCTGCGTTCCTCTCCACGATGGAAACAAACGTTCTGCATTGATAAATGCATTACTTATGATAATTTGTGTTAGATTTAAACCTAAATCTAAAGCTGCAGAAGTTAAATAAATATGTCGCTGAAGGAAGGAGTATTTTCCGACGGTCAAGCAAACTGACAGGCCAATAATAATCCATGTACAAAGCGCACCTGCGGAGAGAAGGGAAGGCATCCAACTAACAGTGACTAAAATCAATGGCCAATGGAAGTGTTCCAACCAACTAAAACGTGCCGATAAAAACCAAGTAGGAATTGGTAAAATTGCGCCTACTAGAAATCCCCATAACAATTTTCGATTTTCTGCATTCGCATCGGAGAAGAATCCGTTTTTATCCGTATAAACGCTTCCTCCCAGCAACGTATAATCAAATATCGAAAAACTCGAGTCAAATTCATTATTCATGCCATATTGATTATAATACATGTACTGAATTCCAATACTAACCGACGAACAAACCAGACTGGAAAGGCATTGAGCCAAAAACAATGATCGATGTGGAATTTTCAAATAATGTCCCAATTTCATATCCTGAATCAATGAAAGACTCTGAACAAATAGAACATAACCTATCGTGATGTATGTATAACTTTCTCGAGATTCTTGGCCCAATGCCAAACCTTGAGCGATGATCACACTTAGGTAATAAACAGGAGCATTTTGAAGAAATTGACCAGTTATCGATGATAGAAGACCAAATGGAAGAACAAGACATGCATTGATAAACAAAGTCAACAAAACTAAATACCAATTCAACCAATTGTTATGATCACAGATCACACAAATGATTATCAACGAAATACAAAAAAGAATGAAGTACCACCAATCCGGTACTGTTTTATATAAAGACATCAATCGTGCGTGAATATCATTTCCCATATTATCTAAACTTTTCGTTCGAAATTGTTTCCAAAGATCAGCCGAATGATAGAGTATCATATGAACAAAGACGGATGAAAGACAAGCGAACGATGTAAAAACAGTGACTAAACCCATTGATGTTATCCCGAGAAACATCATTCCACCGATNATTGATAAATCGAGTTTGTAAAAACATACCCATCGTAGTGCAGTAAAGTAAGAACTGATTGTTAATCAGTAAATGATGATTTCTGGCAACCGGCTTGTATTTGAATTGTTAGTCCATGTATTATACAAATGTTGATATCCACGTATCTCGCTGTCTGTCACATATTGAAAATGAAATAACACGAAATGAGAGTGAGAATCATATACAACAAAATAATTGCTTTTTCGCCGTCTATTTCGTTCATTGTTAATTAAAAAGATAAAGGCATTCAGCCCGTTTCGATCATCTTAAGAAATAAAGAGCTACATGATGTAATTAATTATCCCTCTTTCTATTGTACAATTATATCTATGTGAAGGATGTGTCTGTTAATTGTTTGTAAACGTGAGTATCATAATTTTATTTTTCGAATTGTTATTTTATCTATTTATGTCTGTAAGATGATGGACACATGAATGTTCTACCTTTTTAAAAGAAACATCGTTTACTTATTTCATAGGAATAGGTATACAGTTGGTCTTACAAAATATTAAAACAATTAAAAGATGGTCCATGATTGAATAGAGTATTTTTTGTAGAATCAGTCATACAAAAAAATTTACCTCCTTTTTATCATCGACAATTAAATAGTCTAATGGATTCAAGAGAGAAAAAACTGCACAAGATGTACTTCGAAATTGACACGAAATTTTGCGTATAGCAGTGTTTTGTGTGACAGGAATACTCAATTTAGTCGTAGATCCTCTCTTAATGATTAGAACGGTAATTCTAAAAACTACGATAGTACTTGTGAATGGTAGACATCATGATCATTCATATTATTGAATACTAATGAGAGTAACATACGTTGTAGAGTTATTTTTGCATTGAATCAAATAGCGAAGTGAGCGACGCTATTGCGCGTGATTGCGACGCACGGATCGTTTACATATATCACGATGATTAACGCCAATATCGTGCTCAATAGCGGCGCAATATGCCGTTTTGGCGATATAGCGGCGTTACGATAAAAAATTGAACGACATGGGTACAGTCTTTGTCCCATTGTTCATGAAATGATTTGTTTTCACAAAAGATAAAAAGACAATCCAATCGTGGAATATCATGGATACAAGGCACAAGAGACTGTCCGATAGTGACTCGGAAATGATCAAATACACTTTACTGTAATTGTCATTCAGTATGAACTCGATACATTCAGCATTGCCTGTAAATGTGTTGAAGTTGATTGATTGTAAACTGATAATATTCGTTGTTGATGTCAGTATGATCATCTAACCAGATTACACTGATATGTTTCATCTTTTCGATATCGATATGTCAACAATTGTGTACCTATTTGGAAGTGACGATTGTTCTTGTACTCGCCGCCATCGATTCTGCTTGCTGTATGTTGATATTATTTGTTAGTCTGTTTCACAATGCGTCTGATCATGAGATAAAAGGAATAATTTAGTTGGTAGCTATTTCTGTTTTCTTTTTTTCCAAGAAAAAGTGAGTACACGACGTGATGCATAATTACAGAAGAACGTCAAAAACATGCCTGTACATATAATGTTTATCAAATAGTAAGCTTTGTCAATGTTGGAGAAAATGCTTTTCTTTATTTGAAATTCGAAGAGTGCAAAGTCGACGACAAATATAAATATCAGTGTATGTACATATGAGTTAAATAATTTCAAGTTCTTCCTTGTGTGATAGCTTGTTCAGATATTTAACAAATCTTCACAAGCAGACAAGAATGACAGAAAATCCAAATGGAATCATCAAGAACAACAATTCACTCGTCGCCTATAGATATGATTATGGATGTCGTGATGTAGGAACAATGCGCTGTTGTTTCCTTTCAAAGTCCAACCATCGACGATAATCAACCATATTGAATAATTTCTCTTTCATATGTGGTATGGTTGTAAGACATACGATGGGAAGAAAAATACAAGTTCCATATCCTACATAAGCTAAAATAAATTCTTGAATATTCTCGGCGATTAATTTAACGTCAAATATTAAATAATACAACGGACTGATGACATCAGGTATATTGAATGCAGTTGAAAGAAAAGATATGCTTAACAGTTGTAAAATCATTTTCCGATTTCGCCGCCATTGAGCTCCTTGTTGACGAATGCGTCGACGTTGGAAAACAACACGTAAAATCAAAAGTATACTAAGAAATGCCTCAAGAAACATCGGAATAATTTCGTGCGCGAGATATTCGTAGAGAAGAACCCAACTAGCAGCATAATTTTCATAACACATAAACCCACACCATCCAACTTCATAATCAAAGTCATTTTTACAAGGATATAAGAATATGAAATAAACATAATAAACCAATGAATATATTAAAGTACATACCAATGGCAGGTAATGAAACATCAATTTTCCTCGTTTTGTACGTACCATGTGTGCATGAAAGACAAGAATATGACCTGTTAAGAAAAAAACAAAGTCATTATAAACTATTCTGCAGTATCAACTAAATTTTTCTCTGAAAAAATCTGTTTGTTTCCAATTTTGGAGTCGAGTAAAACAACTTACGTTCCAATGAAGCCCAAAGCATGATAATAAAACTGGCATAGTATGCCCAATAGTTCATAAAATTCCAGAAGTAGCATGTTGCTGGCGTTGCTGGACGTATGATTCCTTGATGTAACCAAGAAAGAACTAATGATAGGTCGAAAAACAATTGGAAACAATTGGACAATAGTAAAACAACTATAACATGATTGTTCAATGATTTTCGTTGAGTTTTGTTCGTGAGAATGTGAAAGAAAACGAAGAAATAGATCGGCCATGAAAATATTTGTAAAACTTGCAAAACAATATATTTAATACGAATAATTTCTGGTGTATTTAGATCATCAGGAATGACCGAAGTGGTGTTGTCGGCCATACCAATTTACAAGAAGTTTTTCTTTCGCAAACGCGAGATCTTTACACTAATAGATGTTTTACCTCAGCAGGCTTTCTGTCTTAAACAAAAATATAGCAAGTATATGAGCAGATTTTGTATTTTTCAATTATCTCAAAAAAGATTTTGGAATTTTCTTCTCTCTTGACAAGCTGTCGGTTGTTAATACTTTTCTTTTTAAGACATAAGATCAAAGAAATGTCTGTTCATCGGATAAATCTTTTACTAAATTATTTCTCAATTTCTTGTTTAATGTCATGCAGAAAGGAAGATCGAAAGAACTTGTTTGATGATGAAATGCTTCGACATACGTGCGCCATTGCGTATCAGTTTTGTCGACTTAGTTTCACGTTATCTATATTGAAAACTTGGTGTATAAGAACATTAATAATAAACAGAAACGGAGTTCTCAACAATGACTCTTGCCTAGTTACCCATATCTTTGTTTTTTCCCTGTGTTAGGCATCGGTGTACGTCGAACTGTTTTGTCTGCAGAATACCTCAAATGACAATGATTTAATTAAAATTGGTGCAACGCACATTTCGAAGTTCATGGGTAGTTCAATCGATAGAGATACAGGAAAGACTGCGTTGAAGATTTTAGTCTTAGTTACTATTTCTTTAATATTAAATAATTAATTTTTTAAATCTACCGTTGTCGCTATTATCGTGCTTCTTATAACAATTTGATATTTTTTATATAGAAGATCTCACCGAGGTCCCTCAAGACAAGGTACTTTCCAAAACTGTAGTTTCATCAGGATTGGTTCACCTGATGCGAATATTAACAGTTTATATTGCAAGATCCGAATTCATCTCTATCAAGAATGTTACGAAGTGGAAACTATGCCGTTAGTATTAAGGCGAGATAATCTTCAACCAATTGTCCAAGAAGTTGCACAAACAGTAAAAAAACAAAAAGTATTTGTAATTCAGAATGAACGCTTTTTCCAAATAAACGTCTATTTATTCGATGTTAAAGCCAATGTACAGGTGTCATATCCATTGTTATCCTGCGTTCCTCTCCACGATGGAAACAAACGTTCTACATTGATAAATGCATTACTTATGATAATTTGTGTTAAATTTAAACCTAAATCTAAAGCTGCAGAAGTTAAATAAATATGTCGTTGAAGGAAGGAGTATTTTCCGACGGTCAAGCAAACTGACAGACCAATAAGAGTCCAAGTGCAAAGCGCACCTGCTGAGAGAAGAGAGGGCATCCAACTAACAGTGACTAAAATCAATGGCCAATGAAAATGTTTCAAACAAGTAAAACGTGTCGATAAAATCCAAGTAGGAATTGGTAAAATTGCGCCTACTAGAAATCCCCATAATAATTTTCGATTTTCTGCATTCGCATCGGAGAAGAATCCATTTTTATCCGTATAAATGCTTCCTCCCAGTAGCGTATAATCAAATATCGAAAAACTCGAGTCAAATTCATTATTCATGCCATATTGATTGTAATACATGTACTGAATTCCAATACTAACCGACGAACAAACCAGACTGGAAAGGCATTGGGCAAAAAACAGTGACCGATGTGGAATTTTCAAATAATGTCCCAATTTCATATCCTGAATCAATGAAAGACTCTGAACAAATAGAACATAACCAATCGTGATGTATGTATAACTTTCTCGAGATTCTTGTCCCAATGTCAAACCTTGAGCGATGATCACACTTAGGTAATAAACCGGAGCATTTTGAAGAAATTGACCTGTTATCGATGATAGAAGACCAAATGGAAGAACAAGACATGCATTGATAAACAAAGTCAACAAAACTAAATACCAATTCAACCAATTGTTACGATCACAGATCACACAAATGATTATCAACGAAATACAAAAGAGGATGAAGTACCACCAATCCGGTACTTTTTTATACAAAGACATCAATCGTGCGTGAGTATCATTTCCCATATTATCTAAACTTTTCGTTCGAAATTGTTTCCAAAGATCAGCCGAATGATAGAGTATCATATGAACAAAGACGGATGAAAGACAAGCGAACGATGTAAAAACAGTGACTAAACCCATTGATGTTATCCCGAGAAACATCATTCCACCGATGGGACTGTCTTTGACATTTCGGACATTGAATCCATAGACAATCGGAACAATAAACCAAATAATCAAAGCAAAACCAAACGAAATATTCACAATTGCCCATCGAGGAAGGATCAATGGTGAACCGAGATACATTGTGATTTGAGACCAATCTAAAGTTAACCCACTTCCAAACAAGGCGAGGCCACGGACAGCGGTTAACTGCGCGAGAAGATAATTCGATTGATTGAACAGACATGCCCAAGAGAATACAGATAGAGCAGAGACAATATAGAGCGGAAACCATTCGTAAATAAATGCGAGAATTGTTACTAAAATGAAAAAATGGACTTTCTTTTCTAAGAAGAATTTCTTTATTTTTCGTATCAGTTGAGTTTCATTATAATAATTTATCACCGGTAATTGATGTTCGTGTAATGTACGTAAGGTCGCGATCAATGGTAAATTTTGTGGCCAGATAATTTCTGTTGGCCAAACTAAAAATCGTCGCATAATACCTAAAACAAAACTTCTCATCACCGTTCTTTGAAATCAAAACCTTTTACCTGCAAGTCCAAAGCCGATGAACTGAAGTGCAACGACAAGAAAAAAATAATTGGCAAAATTTCGTTGGTCATATTCTAACAACGGCAACGTTGCCGATGTCGCGTAATTAAACACCGAAAAATACATCCAAGCGATATTCGTCATGATTAGTATCAATCCGTGTTCCTTCTGAGTAAATTTCTGTGCATTCGGAACAATCCACGTCCATAAATGACCCAATGGGTACGATAAAATGATACTTAAAATCGGGCTGATGTATGTGTAACTGTAGGTGTACTTTGTCCATTGATGAAGAATGGCGATTCCAACGACGGAAATCGTTCCGATGGTAATGCTTCGTACTGTTAGACAAAGTTCATCGTGATTATCTTTGTTTGAGCAAGTTCCAGCGACTTCTTCAAATTGTGTCATCTCTCCGTCGGAATATAAATAAATCGGATTTGGATCATCGAGAAAGTCTCTTTTGGCATCCGTTATCATTTTGATTCTATATTACAAGTAACGATATTGTATTGCAATAATGTTTCAAACGAAGTTATGTTTTTTTCTCAATTAATGTGACTTCAAATAGGTGAAATAATATCAAAACAAGCGTTTGTTATTAATCTATTTTTGTCTACTTCGCAATAGAGGCAAATGAAAGTTTATATGAAAGGAAATGCTCTTGAAATTACATCAGCTAAGCATTAATAATCATTATCGTGACTTGCAGCACGTGTTAGTTTCAATTTTGTTGAATTTTCTTTCGAAATTTGTCAATAACAGATACTTTACAAGTGTTCGTTTTTCGAATCAAAAAGTACAAAAGTGAAACACAACGTAGGAGGATTAATTGAATCTAAGGTATATTAAAAGAATTCTACGCATTCTTTATTCGACTGATTATTTTTATCGGACTGAATTCTGTCGAGAAAATCGTTGCAAATGAATGACAGTAGTTCACTGAAATTCAATCAAAGTACGTCATGGGATGTTGAAAAGACGACTGATCAAGGAATTTTGAAAAAATGTCGAGCAGCATATTGGAAACCATGTTTAATCGGATTAGTTCTTGGTTGTCTTTGCGCAGGAATTGCTCTTGGTGTTGTAACAACACAATTGATTCAAGGTTTTCAGAATAGAAATACCAACTTTCTTTTTCAAAATTTCAATTTTCCTTAGATGAACAGAAATCAATGACAACCACGAGTACAACATCGACGACAACAACTTCCGCAACTACGACGAGTCTGTATTTATAATCACGAGAGAAAAATCGTTTTATCTGAAGATTTTTTATTAAAACAGCATCCACGACAACTTCGACGACGTCTACGTCAACATCGACTTCAACAACGTCCGCGACAACTTCCACCAGTTCCACATCATCCACATCGTCTACCTCAACAACGTCTACAACTTCCACGACGTCTACATCATCGACATCCGCAACAACTTCTACGACAACGACCACCTCCACAACATCAAGTACAGAATTGATCCATCTGATAATTTTGTTTTCCATCTGATTTTGTTTTTAGCAACTACAACAACATCAGTTGCCCTTCCATCTCAATGTTTCAACTATACTACGAATTCCGATTCAACTCGTAATGTTGCCGATAAGAGTGTCACTAGTTGTGATAGTACTGCATTTGGTTCAACTGGAGTTTGGGTTCGATTTGTAAGTCCAGCTGGAACAATGATCGCCACCTATGACCCTGGATATTATTATTGTGGTACTGATGCACCTGGTTGGTATAAGGATTCTTACCCAACATCCGCTGGTAGTACAGTTAATGGTACAGTTTGTTATTCTTGGTCTAGTAATTCATGTTTATGGTCGAACACGATTTTAATTACGAATTGCAGTACTTTCTACGTTTTTCTCCTGATTGACACAGCGTACTGCAATTTACGATACTGCACTGTATAAGACTTGCAATCAAACTCGGATTTCTATAAAAAGTCACTAACTTTCCAATGTCGAACAATATTTTTCATCCCAATATCATTTACGATTACTCACTAACCTATATCAAATATAATATTACCTATCGATCCTTTTCAGGTGAATAACGTATACGACACTCACAAAATATCATACCTTAATGACAAAAGCTAACAATTATATCGATTGGTGAGCAGAATATTTCCCTATGACAAGATCACGTTTTGCTTTGTACTGACTCGTACGAAATACATTCTTCACGAACAGAATTGAATTCCATTTGCAAACTAAAAAAAATGTAAATACACTTCTACCCCATCTTCAAACACAATTACAATAGAATTCTCAATTTTCAATTCTGCGTTTTTTTCTCTACACCCAAGATAATAATCAATAAAACATAAAAATTCTTTTACTAATTATCATCTATTTACATTCTCGGGATAATTCATTGCATCGAAGACTTGAATTTTTATATGTGCGATAGTCAATTTACCTTTAAATATTCTTCATCATTGATATAACCTGATTACTGCATCACTAATGCGAGAAGCGTAGTTGACTCATTCATTCGTATCGATATTCAACGCGATTTTTTTATTCGTTCTCATTCAAGCACATACGCGAATGATAACCATAAGTATGCAAATCGTTTTTGTCGCTTCGTTCGACGTTCAGTCGGTTGAAAAAAATTTCGATACAGTTCGGAAGAGGATCTGATTTCTATTTTGATCGAATAATTTCTTATAATTAAGTTTATTTTCATTTACATGATGTATGGCTGCATGTTGTCTAATTGATGTTTTCTACCTGGCTGATTCGTTAAGGTCAAAAAATAAAATGTGGACTTCTGTGTGTGTTTTTTTCGCTTGAATATTTGCGTCAATATGTTTACCAAATGAGTCTTCGTTTTTTATGTTTCGGTCCCGTTGAATTTCTGTAAGCAAAACAATGTTACATAGTTTTAGATTGAAGTTCTTTGGAAGAAATGTTGCCGAATCATGACGAGTTCGATTTTCGAGAAACTGACTTATTGAGAAGTGAGACAGTTTATCGAACGAAACGAAGTAAGACGGGAGAGAGAGAAATGTGGAGAATTAACGATATTTGTTTGTTTGTTTGTTTGAAGGCAAAACGGATACTTTATCGGTCGAGGCGGAATTGCAGCGACGCGTGAAAGAAGTAAATTGGGTTAAGATAAAAAGGAAGGTTTGATTTTGTTTGTTTTTTAATTTGAGATTATCAAAGCATTGAAACTGAAATTTGAAGATAATGTTAAGTAAGGATGAAGAATGATGAAATGCATAGTTCGATCGAATTGATTTAGTGATTTGGCTCATTTTGGTTTTTTGGAATTCAAAACTGCGAATCAAACCGAACAAAATGTCGATGAAAACCATCGTTTTCCATTTGTAAGTTCTTCCAAAGTATATTTCTCATTCGAATCGTCTTTTCCCTCTAAGTTTATTCATCTTTCTCCAAATACACGACCATTATTCGTCTCAAAATGCGTCGAAGTCTACCATCTGCCTGCTCCGGACTTTATTCTATCGATTCAAACAAGTCTGGGTTATCAGAATGATGTAAATAAACCAAAATCAGGAATTCAAACCGAAACTGAACGCGCGATTCAAAACGGTTTAACCACTATGGCGAAAATCATATGTAAACACGAACATTTTTTATCAATCTCCTCGTCAATACAGCTCATTTAGATCCTTGGGTGACCACAAGTTGTTTAAATGACGATATGATGAAACTTCTTGGAAATGCTCTGCATCGGGACATTTGCGGCAGAGATATTCCGTGTTTAGGATTCACCAATTGGAGTTCTTCCACAGGTTTTTGTCAAAAAAGGATATTTGCCTTTTGTTTGTGAAATGCGTTCTTCTAGGCGATCACATTTTAATGGAAAAATTCACGCGTGTGTCGGTTAACGATGAACTTCGATCGATAGTGAGAATATTGTATTGTTTTGAGATGTTTTACATCGAAGGAAATGATTTTAGTTAGATAATGAATATTCGGTTGTTCGTACTTATATTTTGAGACCCAATCCGAGTTCCAATGATTCTGTGCCGCATCGAAGACTTCAGTCAAATCACACGCATTTCGTTTTATTCAATGATGGCTCGAAAGATACGAAGAATATTCTACTAAAACGACAAGAAATCGAACATGAATTGAGTGTAAATCGCATTTTGAAATCTCCCATACCGAATTATCCTCCGAGAAACATCGGTAAACTTGTTTTCACTTTATTTCATATCTCATCTTGTGCTTTAGTGTCGGACCATGACATTCCAATTATAATGCTATTAGTTGCTGGCGATTTCTCAATCTTGGCGACGATATGCAAAGCTCTAGCAGCAGGGACACCACTTGTTGTCGTTCGGGTACGTTTTTTCCGCGTCGAACTTTCGTCTGTGATGCAGATTTTCAGAATACCGGTGGTGTGGCTGATATCGTTGCTCAGTTGTGTCGAAAATTGTCTCCGAATGACGAATTAGGTCCATTTCGAAAGCGCACTTATGTTGAAGAGTGTAAGACCGAGTTAAAAAAGCAACTTTCGTTGGAACAAAGTGATATTATCGATCCCGATGAAGAAATCGAGAAATATGTGAATATTTTCAACGAAATGGAAGAGCTTGTTATTGTTTTCGATGCCATTGAAAATGCCAATCTCGAAGATGCCGTCGCCGATGCCATGCTCAAAGGAATTAAGTATCGAGTCGATAATTGGGAACATTTTTTCTCTTTGGATCTGCAAGAAGCGAGTCTCATCTGGTGTTTGGTAAAGTATTGTTTATATTTCTACACGACGTTCAGTTTCAATCGTTCAGATTTGGAATAAAATCGATTATGCGCAACAATTACTCGTCGATCGGAATGATGAAAACGCCAAATCGACGGAAAATCGTACAAATCAAGTAAAACATAACTTCTGTTCTTCTTTTCAAGATTTTGCCTTTGTTGAAGATGATTCCTTTGATGCAGCAATTGCTATTCGAAGCTTTGTATCGAAATAATGTTTCGTTTGTTAATCTACTTATGAAATACGGTGCATCGATCGAAGAATTGACCGAAGAACAACTGATCATCATCTGTGTGAAAACAATGGTAAGAAAAGGTCTCATCGTTTCGACAAAAAGTTTTACTTGATTTAGAATTGCGATGCGTTGGTATTGAATGATCCGTCGATTAAGTCTCTTGTCCTTCACTCCGACCACAAAATCCGCACTCTTCGAGATTTTGTTGAACTGAAGTACAACAACTACCTTCGACAGTTTCTGGAGCACTATATAACGAAAGAATACGAAGAATATACTGAACGACATTTTCTCTCCTTAACGCAAATCTTCGATGAGCGAAAAACTGAAGCACTTTATCTTTGGTTTCTGTTTATGAATCAACCAGCCATGGCGAAGTATCTTTGTTCAAGAAGTCGGGTAAACTTTGTTGAAAATAAACAATTTGCATCAATTTTTCACGTTGTGGCTAGAACCAAATCGTTGCCAGTCTTCTCGCAGTGGAAATTTACAGTACGGCTAAGAACGGCATGCGCAAAAATAGACATACTTTACAAAATGTTGCCGAGTAAATTGTCTTACTTTGAATAAATTCCCTTCATCTTTTTTCTAAATAGGGAATTCGATCAACATTCTCGAGCGATTATCGACAAATGTTTGTCAGCAGACAACGAATTCGCTTTGAAATTACTCGAATGTAAAGCACCGGCGTTGTTTCATTGTTTTCCATTGGATATTGCACAACGTGCGAATTGTCGCGCATTTCTCGCCAGTGATACAATTCAATTACATCTGTTAAACATGTGGTTTCATCGTTTCAACCATCGGCAACGATTATTAACCATATCTGCGTCGATCTGGGTTGGATTGAACTCGATATTTTGATAAAAACGTTCATACTTGGATTTGATTTAGGTGGCAATCGCTGCGTTGTTTCTCCCGTTGATTCCAATAATTCCGATTTTAGTACCGACATTGTTTCAAAACACGCGGAGCAAAGCGGAAATTGTATGGGAGACTTCTATATTACGAGATATTGATGTGTTTTTTGTTAAGAAATCGAGTTGCTCCAATCCGTATCAAGCTGTTGTGGCCTATAAACCTCCATCACCGAAACAAGCAATTGTTCGTCGGTTTGGTATTTCGAATACTCTTAACAGAATCAAATGGTTTTATGAAGCTCCGGTTATACGTTTTTATAACAATTTAGTAAGACTTTCTTTAGAGAATCTCAATATCTATGATCGTTATTAGATGTTTTTTGTGGCATTCCTTCTTTTGTTCAGTTATATTCTTTTGGTTAGCTACTTTCCAATACATGCCCAAGTGGAATATCACGTGAAATATCGTTTTTTACCGATTCCATTAGCGGAATTCCTGTTGCATGTTTGTATGTGGAGTTTGATCATTGATGAATTGTATCAATTCGTCTCTCAAATCGTTATGAAATACAATTACAGTACCAATTCGTGGAATTGGATGGATCAGGCAGGAATTCTGTTCTATCTATTGGCCTTTGGTACTCGTTGGTCAGACGATCAGTCGTGGTTTATGTGGTCCAAGTAAATTTCTGCGAAACCCAATAAAAGTTTAACCTAATTCGAACCGTTTAGGATATTCATGTCCATTGCATGTGTTATTTGGTATACACGTATACTTTTTTTCTTTGCTGTATCGAAACAATTAGGACCGTTATTAACTATGATCTATGAAATGGTAAGAATCAATTTTAATTTGCTATTGAAGATTCAAATGTAGGTTCTAGACGAAAGAAGCGATGACGATATTCGTATGTTTCATTCTGATAATACTCTTTGGCTTTTCGGTGGCTTCCTGGGCGCTGTTAACTACGAAATCGCAAGTGATCTGGTCAAATCAGACGAATGGGTCTGTTCATCTTCTTCCGGTGGTCATTGCGGAAAGTAGCGAACTGTGGAATTGGCAATTGCTGAGGGATATCTTCAATTGGGGCATTTGGAAAGTGTTTGGACAAGTCGCCGAACCGTATAATGATGCTGTCAGTGGTAAGATGAAGAAGAACAACATGGAATTTCTTAGAAAAATATTGCTCTTGAATAGAAAATGATCTGAATGGTGCGTTCGTTTTCCTCTTTTCCATTGGTTTTACCGCCATTGCCAATATTTTGCTTCTTAACGTTTTGATCGCCATGTTTAAGTAGGACATTGATTTACAAATGCTGAAAATGTTAGTTCATTTGATTTTTAGCGAGAAAATCTTACGAGTTCTGGAAAAATCCAACGAACTGTGGAGAAATCAACGATTTTGGTTGATCTACGAGATGAAAGACAAAACAATTCTACCTCCGCCATTGAATATTCTTTGTTATATTGTTCAATTCCTTCAGTATTGCTGCTCAATATGTAAACGAAAGTTATGCAAACCACGTCAGTTTGACGAATCAGAATTCGATGAATATAAACCGATACACTTGGTCATTGTTAAAAATATTAATACATCGACTAGAGTGTCCGCATACCCTAATCGCGGTAATTTCCATGGGTAGTTTAGATTTTCAACAGAGATTTTTGTAGATTCAATTGATGATTCGACAATTTCGCGAGATGTTGCTAATCTCTCGAGTACAATTGAAAATCGTGTTACAAATCGAGAAAAAGTTATCGCGCAGTCGTATTGGCAAGATTTATTCGAACAGGAGAAACAAAAACTAGCGTTCGTATCTGAGAATATCAATCAAATGTTATCCTTTACGTTTACTTTCCTACAGATCGAACAAACAACACGACGAGAAGGACAAAATAGTCCAAAATTATGATCAACAGCCACTTCACGAAACTTTACAGGTACGAATGTTTTTTTTCTTTCAAATGTACAACTCGCGTTTCCTTCTTCGTTATAGACAACAAAAGTACTCGAATTAAAAAACAACAAAATCAGTAATAAAGGTGCTCAACAACTTGCGGAGGTCATACCGAAAAACACAGTAAGTCCTCATTCATTTGATCCTTCATTGAGTGTATCCTCCATTTAGACTCTAATTGAAATCAATTTAATGAAAAATTGTATTTCTGATCAAGGTGCACAATATTTATCCGATGCGCTGCTCAACAATCGCGTAAATCTCATTTTCAATACAATATCCTTCTGAATTCGTTTGCCAATAGACGATCACAAAATTCGATATTTCAGCCAATCATATCGGGGCACAGGGTGCGCAATACATCGCGAAAGTTTGCCGAAATAATAAAGTACTTTTCGCAATAATTTGCATTCCAATCAACATTATTTTGATTTAGGTGTTGAGTAACATCAATTTATCAAATAATCATATTGGAGACAGCGGAGCTCAACATCTCGCATATGTTATCCCACAAAATATGGTAGATATCACCGATGTTCGCTTAGTAATTGCTTATTTCTTATTAGACATTGAGAATTCTCAATTTGAAAAATAATCAAATCGGAGATTATGGTACTGAATGCTTAGCGAATGCTTTACGATATGATATGGTACATTTATTCGAGTGATTTTGATTTATTTCATCGATAAAAAATATTCTCTAGACATTAACTCATCTTGATCTTTCGGTGAATCGTATTACTGCAGCGGGAATTCGTCATTTAGCTCTGGCATTATCCAATAACACTGTAAGATTTGTTTTTTTCCCGGTATAGTCGAGTTTTAGTGTTAATTTTTCTTTCAAGACACTCAATGTGCTCAATTTGGCATCGAATAAGATCGAAAATAAAGGATTGGAATACTTAGCGAATGTTCTTCGACTCAACTCGGTTCGTTTCTCTTTATTTCGATCTTTTGACTGTGTTCCTTTTGCCTTAGACATTGTCCACACTTGATCTCAGCTCGAATAGAATCAGTTGTCACGGAATTCAACACATTGTTAATATTTTAGAAAATGAAGCAGTAAATGTCACTTTTCTTCGCATTCAATTTCAATATTGTCTCGTTTCGAAAGGTGCTCAGTACACTCATCCTGTCTGATAACGAAATTGGATACAATGGAATCGTAAAACTAGCTAACGCGTTAAAAAAGAATGAAGTAAATCGAATATTCTCTTCTAAAATTTTGTTGAAGAACCTTCATTTGTAGGCAATTACCACACTTGACATTGGTAGTAACGGAATCGGAGATCAAGGAATACAACATTTAATTGATGCTTTGAACGAAAACAGTGTAACAAGAGACTTATTCAGATTTTTCGTCTTAGTTAAATCTATTTTTATAGACGCTGACAACGCTGCACCTTTCCTGGAACCAAATCGGGCCAACAACAGCGAAAAATCTCGCCAAAACTCTGGGCTATAATACGGTACAAATAATTCGTCAACTAAATGCTTCCCATCGTATAGTTTTCGTTTCAAAACAGACCCTTGCAGATCTTGATCTCAGTTACAACCAATTAGGACCTGATGGAATTCAAATCTTGGCTCCGGTTCTCCGACATGCCACAGTAAAATGCTCTTTCACTCAATTGCTTTCAATTGTAACATGTTTCGTCTAATTTAGACATTGATAACACTTTCTCTATCAGGAAATCGACTTGGACATCTTGGTGTACAATATCTCGCATATGCTTTGCAATCGAACGAGGTATTTGACAGTTCTCGTTCGTTAAAATCTACTGTTTGTATATATTAGTCAATTACAACACTGGATCTCTCGAGAAATCAAATGGATAATGTTAGTATGAACTACCTGAAAGCAGCTTTGGAAACGAATAAAGTAAGGACACAGTAGGTTGAGCATAAATTGTCTTTTTCTGTGTTTAGACACTTCGTACACTCGATTTATCAAATAATCAGATTGGAGATGCAGGAGTGAAGAGTCTAACTGCAGCTTTGAAGTTAAATTCGGTAGAAAATTCTACTTTTTTGTCTTCCATTCCCAATCCTGATTGTTTCGTAGACATTAAATAATATAAATCTTCGATTCAATCGCATTCGTGATGATGGAGCTGAATTTTTAGCTCTCGCTCTCGTTTACAACATGAATGTGGTAAGTGGTATTTGCAAATTCTTTTCATTCATTTACCCTTACTGATGATCAAGGCGGTAAAAGAACTCGAATTGGGCCAAAATCAAATTTCCGATCAAGGCGCACATAAACTTGCCGACTTCTTACAATACAACACGGTAAAGCATTCTTTCGCTCTTCGACATGACTTCATAAACTTTCCCAATAGACTTTAACAAAATTGGGAATGACGGGAAATCCAATAACCATCGATGCAGCCAGATATCTGTCTCAAACTCTACGCAACAAGCTGGTAAACATAATCTCGAGTGGTTTTAACCTATTTTTGATTTTGTTCAGAATTTGACAACGTACAATCTCGCAAAGAATGAAATCGGTGCTGAATTAATTCATTATCTTACCGAAATGCTACGAACTGAAAATGTAAGCATTGAATTCCTCATCATTCGACGACATTTTATTTGAATTCAGACGCTCACGGCGCTCAATCTCGAAAATAAAGAAATGGGATACAAAGATATTCGATTATTATCTGTTGCTTTACGAAACAACTCGGTAAGTTCCATAAGAACAGCTGGTTTTGACGTTCTTGCTGTTCGTATAGACAATCAGCGCGATAAATCTCAATGGAAATCATATTGATGTAATGGGAACTGAATATCTTTCAAAAGCTTTGCGAAACAAACAAGTAAATTAACTATTTGGTCACTTTCCTTCCTGATTTTTCTTGGCTTGTAGACATTCACCAAACTCGAACTTGACGGAAACGAAATCCGTACGGAAGGAGTTTTGTATTTAACCGATATTTTCAGTTACAACACAGTGAGCGAGTTCGGAATGAGATTCTTTTCTTGAACCAATCATTTGTTTAGTCTTTTGTTGAACTTAATTTGAGTAATAATGACATTGGAGATCAAGGACTTCAATATTTAGCTGAAGCACTTCAAAATACTAAGGTATGATAAGTGTTGTGTCCATTAGTTTGATTGGAGAAATGTTTCTGATAGACACTGACAACGTTGAGACTCGCGGGAAACAAGATTGAAGAGCAAGGAATTCAATATTTAGCCAAAGCGTTTTGCAATGTTACTGTAAGTGTTTTTTGAAGACACAGTCGTACTTTATGTCATTTGTTGTAGACATTAACAACAATAGACTTTGGATTTAACAAACTCGGTGATTTAGGAATTAAGTATTTGATCGACGTTCTTCAAAGGAATACGGTACTGGGAAAGTTTTCTTCATTGATTTTGCATTCGGATGAGGTTTTTCTATAGAACTTAAAGACTTTGAGTCTAAGTCGAGTTAATACGAGACTTGAAGGAGTGAAATATCTGGCTGATTATCTTCGAAATAACACGGTAAGATGTCAGTTTTGAATTTTTTTTCATTGGATTAGAATTTTCTAGTCATTGACTGAACTTGATTTCTCGAGAAACCGAATTGGAATCGATGGTATGGAAGGTATCGAGTATTTAGCTGATGCTTTGTCTAATAATAAGGTAAACTCGACCTGTTGAGATTTCTACGAGCATAAAATTCTCATTCAGACTATTACAACATTGAGAATGGCGACGAATAAGTTCACATCGGAAGGTACTGGGTACTTCGCCAAGATTCTCGAAAATAACACGGTAGGTTTTCTCTTCTCCAACGCGTTTCAATTGAATTTCGTGTCTAAAGACCTTGACGGAACTGGATGTTTCATACAACTGGGTTGGAAATGATGGAGTTCTATACTTAGCTGGTGTTCTAAAGGACAATCAGGTTAAATCTACCATTTTTCTTTTCATTATTGTATTGTGATTGCTTTTGAAGACACTTACTAGCCTTAGTCTTATTCAAAATGAAATCGATGATTCTGGTGTGGAATATTTAGCATATGCTCTGGAGAATAACCAGGTAAATATACAATTTTGATGAAATTTTTTTCCGTTTTATCTATTTAGTCACTCACAACACTTCTTCTAAATGCGAATTATATCGGTGATCTGGGAGCGGAGTATCTCGCGAATGTATTCAAGAATAATAACGTAAATACACATATTTTTCTTCTGTAATCGAAATTTGTTTTATTTTTAGACTTTAATCAATCTCGGCCTCCAAGGAAATTATATCGGAGACGAAGGTGCACAACATCTAGCAGATGCTTTTCGAGATAATACAGTAAAAAACCTTATTTTTCACTCAATTTTATTCGTGAAATGTCCTTGTAGACACTGGTCACTCTCAATCTCAAAGGAAACAGTATTGAACATGAGAAAATGCAGGAATTGATGAAAATTTTCGAAAATCACAACGTATAGTTCGTCTCTATCAAATATCATTTGATTTCTGTCCGTATTTAGAGAATAACACCGATAAAGCTTGAAGACAATGCAACATCTGACCAAGACGAACAACATCAACAAGCCGATGATTCATTGAGCGCTGCAGTAAGTTTTCGATTGGTTACGAAAATTTCTACCGAAATGTTCTTTCAGGCATCGACGACATTCGATCTAAAAGATGAAAATAAAGGCGTGGAACGAGCAAAATATCTCGCCGAAATATTCGCAAAGAACAAAGTTTGTATTCTCTCTGATCTTCTCTTCGAAAACTCCCTTTTCTTCAGACGCTCTGCAAATTGGATCTCGAAAATAATCATATCGGTACACGCGGCATTGAAAACCTTGCAAATGCTTTTCAAAACAATTCAGTAAGTGTCTCGTGATCGATTTCTGTGTATTTCATTCACATTTTCAGACATTAACTACATTGAATTTGGCTTCGAATGAAATTGACGATGAAGGTATCCAGCACTTGATCAAACTACTCGAAAATAATCATGTAAGTTTGTGTGTGCGATTTCAATCTATCAGCCGAATTCTTCGTAGATACTGACGATACTCAATCTCAGTAAAAATCAAATTGGTTCGCGAGGAACCGAACACTTAGCCAACGTTTTAGCGAATAACAAGGTAGATCTTTTTTTCGATTGTTTTTTCGAATAATAATTCTATTGGAATCAGACATTAAAAACCCTCGATTTGTCTGCGAATACAATTGGTGTTGATGGAACGCAACATTTGGCTAGAATTCTCGAAAACAATGATGTAAACATTCATCTTCTCTCTCATTTCTTTGTTCCGATAATTGTTCACTTGTGTAGACGTTGACAGAATTTGATTTAAGCCAGAATGAAATTGATGATAAAGGAATCGAATGTTTAGGCAAAGCTTTGGAAAATAACAAAGTAAATTCGAACGATTTTTTGTTTTCGCTAATCGATATTCATTCGATGATTTTCAGACGCTAATCACGGTGAAACTTGATGATAATAAAATCAGTGCTGATGGCGTCGAATATCTCGTCAATTTTCTCAAGAATAATACAGTAAATCTCGGCAATCAACATCAGTTTAGTTGATTGCTTTTGTTTAGACTCTTTCAACGCTTAATTTCAATGGCAATACACTCGGTACTGTTGGTGTTAAACATTTAGCAACTGCATTTCAGAATAATAATGTAAGCTTAGAATTGTTTTCCGTTAGAATTTGCTCATTTCATGCTTAGACATTGACGACACTCGATCTTTCTCGAAATAAAATCGAAGATGAAGCAATGAGTTACCTTGCCGATGTTGTACGAAACACTCAAGTAAGAAATCTGAGTTTTCTACTGATGTATGATGTTCGTCGCTATCATTAGACGTTGGCTACACTCCTCCTCTCTCGCAATATGATTGGAGATGAAGGAGTCAAATACTTAGCTGCTGTTTTACAAAATAATCGGGTTATAATATGCATTTATTCTATTTGATTTATTCATTGAACTTTTCTTTCGATTCTTTAGACACTTATTAAACTCGATCTTAGTCGAAATGACATTGAAGATCAAGGCATTCAACATTTGAGTTTTGCTCTGATTAATAATACCGTATATTTTCATATCGAGTTTCCCTTGTGTTTCTATTTAACTTCTTCGTATAGACACTCACATCTCTTGTACTCAGTAATAATAAAATCAAACAACAAGGAGCTCAACATTTAGCCAGCGCTTTTGCAAATAACAAGGTAATTTCTAATTATTTCTCTCAATTTACTGATTAATTATCTAAATTAGACTCTGACTTTCCTTGATTTGGCTACGAATTGTATCGGAGATCAAGGTGCACAAGCATTGACGACCGTCTTTCGCAATAACACGGTAAGTTCTACCTACTCTCATGATTTTTCGATTACTTTGCTTGTTTAGACGTTGACCACACTTGATTTACGGCGTAACGAGATTGGAAAATTGATGAAACACTATGTAATGAAAACTCTACGAAAGAACAATGGATTGAAATTGTTTTTAAGAGATGATGATTATGATCGTTATTGATTTATTTTATATCGTATTTAACAAATAAAATTGTTCAGAAAAACGAAATATGAGCTAAATCAAAACATACAGTAGGATTGTTCATTGTCGTTATTTAATCGTAAAAGGGAAGAAAATCATCGTTCACATCTATTTCTAAGCATATCAGACGATTCTCTCTTACAAAAAACGTATCTTTCAAACACGAAAAACGTCGCATGACAGGAATCACAGTCATCGTATCAAGGGGAGAATCCAACAGAATGTCAGAGGACCGCTGTTTTTATGATTCCTCGAGAAAAATCCTTTTGGAAATGTAAAAAGACTGCAAGTAAATATTCTAAGCAAATATGATGCATTACACCAAGTTTGCACGGCACTTCGTAAAAAAAAACTTTTATAAAAGGAACATTCTACTTCATTCATTGAAATGGATGTTTTGACTAAAGGTAGGTTAAAAGCAAACGTAACGATTGGAAAGAAACAAGAACATGTATTTAAAAAGCATCATTTGTGAAAAATAAGGCAAGTCTACTCATTCACTCTTCCAACGTTCTAGATCTATAAAACAAAGAAGCACAATGACCAATCTATATGGTAAAACAGACATCAGTGCTGGTAAGTTATATAATGAAAGTTAATATATCTCCGTATTATTTGAACAAATCTTTGTATATAGCCGCTTGCCAAGTTTACTATAATGATAAACGATTAAACGGTTCTAAGATATCCGGTTTTGACGTATCCGCTAATCTTGATGATGATGATATTATCGTCAGTTTTTATTCGAAAACTACAGGTTGTTCACATGGATGGGTTGTATTTCAGACAAAAAAAGGTAACATTTACCGATGTCATCTTGTTGGTATTCCTGGTCAACTTATTATTCGTGTCGAAGATTCAGAATGGAAGACCAATGGTTTTAAAGTAAGATTTGATTAGAATAATGAATTTATTTGATTTGGTACTTCGTCAGGTTTCTTCATTAACACAAGAACTAACTTGGAAAATCTTCAAAAGTCATATAAGAGTCGTGATTAAAAATTGGGGTGAATATAACTGCGGTTTTCATGATTGTCGCCATTTTGCTGAAGACGTTGATAACTACCTAAAACGTCATTGCTAAAACAACTCTAGAAACTACTCAAATAAACACTTCATAGTTTGTTTTAATCAACAAAGAAAAAAAAATATTTATTTCTCTTTATTCTTATCTACAATTTGTGAAACACCATAATGATAAACATTTTTCATTAATGAAAAAAATAACCAATTTGTTTTTAAGTATGGTACACTTAACAACTTCTTTAGTTTTCTTTCTTTTATATGATGCCGTAATTTCGCAATCAGTACTATTGGACATGTAGATCGATAAGGCATCCGTTATAACCTGAACATTGCTTTTTCCGCCGTATACATGTGTTCCCAGGTTGACAATTATAAAAAGCACAATTATTTTTAAATAGAACGACATTTATAAATGTTCATACTCAATAATAAAATACGTAGAAGATCATTTAACAAGGTTTCAGTTCTTCCAGTATCGATTCATTTAGATAGTTATTCTATTAACAATTTTACTTGCATTAATTCCAAATAGAATTCGACAAATTTCCATTTCATCTAGAAATATTACAGCACTGGTTGCAAACGGAATGTGACGAGTTCTATGCTACAGAAGTTCAATTTACAAGTAATCACTACATACGTCATTTCGTACAATATGATATGATCTCTAATCAGATCATGATTTTCATGTGGTAGTAACATCTTTTCCAGACACGACTTGAGTAAATACACTCAGATCAAACGTCTTGAAGTTATTTATTTATGGACGAACTACATGCTCAATACAGATAAACTAGGATGGTATACATAAACTCATTATTGCTGTATTACACGAGCTTTCTCATAGTATTCGAGTGATTTCCGATAATCGCCAATATTTTGATACACCGTATCGATATTGTTGAAGGATGTAGCTAAGCTAAGGTGATTTGTGAAAGTTGACCTTTTGCATATAAGTATTAATTTGTCATATGTTTTAGTGCTTTTGAAAATGCACCCTGATTATGTTGAATTCTTCTCAGTTGATTACAAACTAGCCGTTTATCCTCATCATCTGACGCATCGTTCAGCAATATTTTGTAAATCTTATCCAGTCTCGTATATTAAAAAAAGTTCAATTAAATCAGAATCGTCTGCATTAGTCTGTGCATAGAAAAAATGACACTTCTCGTTGTGTACTCGTTGATAAGAAGTTGTTGAACGACATCAGCCCACCATTGGCCTTTCTCAATTCTTTGAAGAGTTGCGTGTACATAAAGCATGGATCGAGTTTTCTCCCAGATGTGACGAAACTTAATGGCACGGCATTCTGATCATATCGATAGAATGTACCCTCCATACCTTTGCAGACTGATGTTATATCAATGAGAATACGCTTGATCTTTTCCCGGTTTTTCGTTCATTGTTCATGACATGATTTGACAACAGATACAAAGAAAATTCAATTGAAGAATATCATGTATGCAAAGCACAAAAGTTTGTCCGAGTGAACCGGAAATGATCAGGCATATTTTACTACGATTGACATTCAGTATGAATTCGATGCATTCATCATTGTCTGTGAATATGCTGATCGATTGTAAACTGTAATATTATTTGTTGGTGTCAATATGATTATTCAACCAGATTACACTGATATCTTTCATCTGTTCGATGTCAATAGGTCAATAATTTCGTAGTTCCTTGAAAGTGTCGATTGCTTTTGTAATTACCATCGATTCTATACTCGCTATTATTTTAAGTTGTGCATGGCTATGAGATCAAACGAATAGTTTAGCTGGTAAACGTTGTCTTTTTCTTACAATATTCATACATATTGTTTTGTTGAAGAAAAAAGTCAACATACACTTGAACACATTACGCTGGACAGCGACAAAAAAAATATGCACAAAAATGAGACGTAACTTCAAAAGAAATGCAGTTTGACTAAAATGAATAAAAATAACTCATAAGCGTGTGAATAAGATTGAGGATTAAAAAGGTCTTTCAGTTCAGCTAAAGTTCGAATATTACCAAAGAACTCGAATTCTATTCAAAGAATCCTGTGTAAGCAAAATGAATAACACTCATCGTGATGACATGGTCTACAGAAAACAGAAGAAATACTTTTCAATGTACGATTTGTCTATATAATAGGACCATGAACGACTTTCGAGAAACCAGAAAAGAACAGAGTTTTTTAGTTTTAATCAATACACAACAATATTCATGTTTTTCACTTTATATTTAATACCTATAGTACACGGAACGGAGAACGATTTTTGTGATTTATTTGTGAAGCGAAGGTGAATGTTGAATGGAAATGTAATAACTGAACTAACACGTAGATGTCAAGGGAATGATGGATCAACAAGTATCATTACTTTTTCTTAAATGCTGCATTTACTTGAAGTTTGTTTTGCACTCACATGACGAACGCATCGCTAATGTCAGGATCATTTGTTATTGAAACGTTCTGATTTTCAAGTATTCTTCATCAAATACGTTCGGTGCTTTTGATTTTCAATTATCCTCTTGTGAAAGAATACGATTTGTGTCAAACATATATAACCTACTTCTGTTTTTTTCCCACTGAAAGGTACTGACAAGCGTTCTTTACTTCTCCATATGAGGACACGTATTATATTTCCATTAAAAATAAAAGCATCTTCGTTCATTTCCTGCTACCGAACGCATTTGTTGAAATATTAAAAGTTATGTTTCTTGTGACTACATTCTTATTAATAACGATAACTTCTGTTGCCGTACAGCAACAGTATAGCGTACAATTCGAAATCTCTTCTTTCGGGATGGAATTTCAAGTTAATAGTTCAGCAGATCTGACGTCAAGTCAGTTTAGTATACCTTCAATCTTACAATGTGCAATGATTTGTTCATCTGAGATTAAATGTCAAACATTTGATTATGACGCTGCTTCTTTCCTATGCCGCATCTTTGCTGTTTGGGCTACTGAAGGTCTATTTATTTCATCGACATTATCGATGTCTCGTATTGGTTATGTCAAACAAGTGGCTAATCTCTATTCTTTGTACGGACAAATTTGCGTTATGTCCCACGATATTCATCGTTATTTGCTATGTTCAAATAATAGTCACTGGTCATGTCGATCAGGACAATTTTACAATGGAACGATCTGTCAAAATGAGTATAATATTTCTTCGAGCAATCAATCACAATGTGCACAGAATCAATCCCTATATTGGAATGGAACACATTGTGTATCAAGTAAGAACGTTAGAATCACTCTGGAGGGTTTTGACCTCGTGTACATTGAAACTAATAGCACTGAAAATATATGTGAGCAATGATTTCTTTCTTTCTCATGCTTGTCTGATGGGAATTCTACTTTGGGTTAAACATATTTTACTTTATATTTTTATTTTCTACTATGATAGCGTCGACTATCCTGCTTAGCTGGAATACTACTGGAATAACTGTAGCTGGAAAGGTCGCCACTCCGAGTTCAGCTCCTGACCGATTACACGAACCTTTTGGCCTGGCACTCGATTCAGCTGACACGTTGTATATTGCTGATCAGAATAATAATCGAATTCAGAAATGGTTATCAGGCGCACCGAATGGATCTACGCTTGCCGGACAAGCTAATGGCGCTTCAGGCGCATCAGCAACGACTTTGAATGCACCCTCCAGTGCTGCCATCGATACAAATGGCAATCTCTACATTGCAGATACTAACAATCATCGAGTACAATTTTGGCCGTACAACGTCTCATCAGGCACAACTGTCGCTGGAACAGGTAAGCAGTTAGTGTTTGGTTTGAGAATGAAAATCGGTTATACGCTCCTAGGCACGAGTGGTTCATCAAGCAATCAGCTGGACTCTCCGTATGACATTGCACCCAATCCAGTCTCAAATGAATTTTACATTACTGATTCTGGAAATCATCGAGTAATGTGTTATCGTCTGGGCATATCAAACGGTACAGTCGTAGCCGGCGGAAATGGTCCTGGCACGGATGTCACACAACTGTCGACGCCTTACGGTCTCTATTTCGAATCATCATCGAACAGTCTGATAATCGCCAACTATGCTGCGAATAATATTGTTCGTTGGGTTTTGGGCACCAAGAACTGGACACTTGTGGCAGGTAGTATTAGCGGCGCGGGTGGTTACTCGTCAACGTTACTCAATTTTCCTCGAGATTTAACACTCGACTGGATGGGCAATCTCTATGTTGCCGACACAGGTAGTCATCGGATTCAATTTTTTAAAGCAGGTGAATCAAATGCAACAACAATTGCTGGTGTAACGAGTACTTCAGGTGCTAACGCAATTCTCCTTCAGTTTCCATATTCATTAGCACTTGATTCACAGCTGAATCTATACGTATCAGACACTTACAATTTTCGAATTCAAAAATTTCTTCGCTATTAACAAAAAGAAACATCATGACGCTCACACTTTCTCGTTTTCTATCTGAAATAAATAAAGAAAATGTGTTCAAGTAGTTCGATGGATTCACAGTACAGTGTTTTCTCATGCATAAAAAAGATGATTTTGATCAGAAGGAATACATTCTAAATTTTCCATTAATGAAGGAACAATTTCTGAGCTTGCATCTCGACCGAATTCAGACAAACCAATGATCTTATTGTAGAACAAGCAAAAACTCTCCTGCAAGTTGTCTCGAGAAAATGAAATGCTATTTTATCATATTCAAAAGATAAGAACACATGTTTCGGTTAGGATTTCTTCTTTTACTATTCAATATAGTTTCATCAACAATATTCAATATTAAAGATTATGGCGCAGTTGGCGATGGAATTACCGATGACACGAATGCAATTCTGAAGGCAATTTCTCAATGCACGATCAATGGTGGCGTTCTTTACATTCCAAGTGGAACATTTGTTATACGCTCGTCATTAATGTTTCAAACAAATGTTCCGTTTACAATCAGTGGTGATGGAATGAATTCGATTCTTTTATGGCAATTCGACGATCATCTAATTCATATTTTACCGAGTAAAGAAATGAATAACGAAATATCAGAAATAACAATTCGTGATTTTTTGATCACATCGAGCTTGATTGGAAAATCCTTGAATAAATTCGGTATTTATGGAGAAAATTTAGTTAAAAGTCACATAGAACACCTCATTTTCAATTCGAATGATTCAAAAACCAGTCCGATAAGTAGTGGAATATGCTTTTCAGGCGTTGCTGATACAAACACCGTACGCGACGTCATAATGTGGGACATCCGTGGAACTGGAATCGAGATCGGATATGGATCCGAGATCCGAATTCTCGGTGGACGAATCATCGGAGCAAATACTCGTTTTGATCAAAGTATTGGGATTCATTGTACAGGAAATAACGGAGGTGTTCACATTGATAGCACTGATATTATTGGTTTAGCTCAAGGAGTTTTGATTGAAAATGTAAATGGACATGGATCAAATAGAGAAATATTTATTAATCAAGCGACAATTGATTCGAATGGTGAAGGTTTAATTATACGTGACAATAGTTATGTTTCAATCGTGGGAATATGGGCAGCATCAAGTACAAAACATCAAGTTTATGTAGAAGAAAATACAAGTGCACTTTTAACTATTAGTGGAGGAACGATTTTCAATGGAGGAGTTTATGAATGTCCAAATAGTTCAAATTGGTGCAATGGAATTACAATCAAAAGTGGAAGTTTTATTCTTGATGGTGTTCATGTTAGAAATAACAAAGGAAAGGGTATTTGGATAGTAAATCAATCGGTTACACAATTTCAGATCATTTCATCGCGAATATTTCAAAATGGACAAGGTCTGTTCATTAATGGATCGACATTTATCATTTCGAATAACATCTGTAAGGAAAATCAAATAGATAATTGGATTTTCAATACAACTTCTTCAATTATTTCGAATAATCTTTTCTGTTAATCGAACATTTTCATAATTAACCAATCTATTTGATATTTCGATCAATAGAGGAAATAAATCAGATCAAATAAAGAAAATACATGAGTATTAGCGCATAATGTATGCATCCTAGTCGCTTGAATTAAAATGTCAATATTCATTCAGAATTTTTCCTTGGAAACAAATAAACTTCATCTTCTTTCTCAGTTATATCATGTGCTGTTTCGACCTTGACGATATTTTCTATTTCATCTGGAGTGAGAAGATGTGAACCAAAATACCTAAACATTTTCTACGTGTTCCCTTGGTGTAACGCTGAATTTAATTTTTAAGAATTATGGATGCAATTTGATTAAGCACAAATTATAGTGGAATTGCAAAATTTGACAAATCAATTGATGAAATATCGTTCAATGTTAACCCGAATAAACACGAAATAATAAAACGAATATCTACTGATATCTCTAGATCAACATTAATAGTTATATTTCGAGTATCATTTTGACAAACATCTGCTTTTTACGAACTTTTTTTCATAGGATTGATTGATGAGAGCTGCACATGTCTTCGTCACTACATTTATTTGAGAGAATGAAATGTGATATCAATCTCGTCTGAGATGATACTTTTATTGAAGATGCATAGAGCAAAAAATTAATGTCTTACACCAAAAAAAATCGAATCAATCAAAAATGGCTTGTTATTCAGACAAACAGAGGCGTCTTGCATACTCTTAATTGTAATGATGTCTGAGTGCCTTTTCAACCTATAAAATAATGGGGGAAAAATCAAGCTTTTTTCTGTTTAAACAACGGTATGTTCAACTTACAGCTTTGGAGGTAAGAGCTTGACGAATAGCGTGACTTATTTGATGGTAACGTGCTGGATCGACAAAAGTAACAAAATCGACCATCAACTTATCGTCGTTGAAAGTATTTAAAGCTGTAACTTTGATTGATTTAACACCTTTCGGATGATGTCTTTGAATATCCTTGTGTAAGGCATTTTTGAATTGTTCGACAAAATTTCCACCGGACTTTCGCGAAACCTTCTCAACTGTAAGACCGTTGAGAACAACCGATGAAACTATATGACTCATTGCACATCGGCCACATCCACCCTGAGGTTTTTTATTGTCCTTTTCATCCGAGGACGAGTCGTCGATTGGATGTGAATGTCGCTAGAATACATTTGAATGATTTGATTTTCGAGTGTGAATTCCGATTGAATGACACTTCTCAACAGTTATTTCAAATCTATGTTCTCCTTTCAAATCACACCAGTTTTTATATTGTGCTTTTTCCTTTTGAGTTTTGACATTTCCTACTTCCAACATCTCACTAAAATCTGAAACTCAACACATACTCAATTCCGCCTCAATTAAAATTTACAATTCATCGCAATTCGCATTTTCTACTTACTGGATGACCATGTCTCAATCGATTTTCTTCAGATGAAGACGAATCATCATGTCCATGAGATTTACCTAAAACAGAAACATCAATATAGGAAGCGTACAAGCACATCCACCATTCCTCCTCTTTCTCTTCTCTATTCTCAAAAAAACTTACTTCTCCAAACTCACCTCCCCTGCTCACATTTACTCAAGCACTTCCTTTGCCCTCATACACAACACAACTAACAGCTAAGCTCACTACCGATCGCCACTCTCCTCCGCACTTACTCAACATGAATACATCATTACCTTTGCTGCTCAACATTACGTAGTTATCCATTGCGAATATAAATACCCTACCTGGAACCCCACATTGATCTCGTAACGGATGTCGAGGATGCGATGGAGTATGATCATTGTCGCCAGCCTTGCCATGATGTCCTGGTTTATGTGAGACACCATGTTCTGGTTTGTGAGTGGCTCCATGATCTTTGCCGTGATGATCTGGCTTGTGACTGGCTCCGTGGTCCTTGCCGTGGTGTTCTGGTTTGTGCGTGGCTTCATGGTCCTTGCCATGGTGTTCTGGCTTGTGACTGGCTCCGTGTTCTTTACCATGGTGTTCTGGTTTGTGGGTGCCTTCATGGTGTTCTGGTTTATNGCATTGGAATGCGAGCATTTGCCAATTGTCTGTTTCACATGATCGCTTCCACAGGCTGTGTGCAATGATTTGTGGCACGTATCGTGATCCTTAACACCAGTGCATGTGTAGGCTACTTCCAAGTCGCCGTTGCCTAATTTCGTGACTGTGTGCACGTTGGCTTCTGATTTAGCGTTAGCGGCACATCCAGATCGAACATGGTCGGTCAGGGCCTTGGAAAGAGTATCTTTGTGATCCCCAAGTAAGTTGTGATCAGTGTTCTTGAGAACGATTTTGCCTTCGACGGTGTGCGAATCCTTCGATTTGCAGTCATGTGAATGGAGAGCTGGCGAGGCAGTGGCGGCTAAAAGAAAAGTATTGTTAGTGATAATTTGACGGAGGAGCAGATAAGCCTAACTGGGCAAGATGAGCACTTCTTCGCACTTTGACTTACCTGCTGTAGGTGCATGTGACTCCTGCTTGGCTGGTGCTGCTTTGGCAGTTTGAGCATTGGAATGCGAGCATTTGCCAATTGTCTGTTTCACATGATCGCTTCCACAGGCTGTGTGCAATGATTTGTGGCACGTATCGTGATCCTTAACACCAGTGCATGTGTAGGCTACTTCCAAGTCGCCGTTGCCTAATTTCGTGACTGTGTGCACGTTGGCTTCTGATTTAGCGTTAGCGGCACATCCAGATCGAACATGGTCGGTCAGGGCCTTGGAAAGGGTATCTTTGTGATCCCCAAGTAAGTTGTGATCAGTGTTTTTAAGAACGATTTTGCCTTCGACGGTGTTCGAGTTCTTGGATTTGCAGTCATGTGAATGTAGAGTTGCAGTAGCTGTGAGCTCTATAGTGGAAATATATAATGTTATCTCTTGGAATTATTCAAGTTGGTAAGAGAACATCTTACTTTCCACGGCAGCGTGGGCATTGATTGAACTGGTCACAGCAAGGAATGCGATAAAAGCAAATAAGTATGAAGACATCTTCTGTGTACGACAGACCAGGAAGATGGAAGTAAGTGAAAAGAAATAATTGAGTGTCGGTCGATCATATCTTGTTTTTATATTGGAAATGAAGATCGAAAATAGAATACCATTTGTGCCATTACGCTAATGTTGTTAAGTGATTTGTTTTTTTCAGGAACATCGAGCCATTAAAAAATCATTTGGTAAGGAATAAAAAGCGCCATCATTTTTTTTTCCTTTGACCTTTTTAATAAATCTTATTAAATAAAAGTGCATTGTCATTAACAGTTTTCAAAAAGATGATGGGCATCATATTGCTGATGAATTGGATGGTCACAGGTTTGACTTTTGTATCTCTTTTGAAACACTACAAGAGTTTTCACAATACCAGCTGAATCCGCATTAAATATGACCGACTTAAATTTGAGCGGATGTGTTCACATGAATACACGTTTCATCAATAAACGAAACTTGAAAAAATGTTTTTATTCTGTTGATGCCGAGTTTTTTATTTCTTGTTATTCATCGTCAAAAAGAATCCAATGACTCGGAAAGGGTGTATCTTTGTGATAACTGTACTGAACAAGTTTGTTTCTCGGAGAGACAAAAGAAATCTTTTAGAACCATCTGTCTCGTTTTTTAAACAATACTGATTAACAAAAGAAGAGAATCGTGAATGGTGATGACGTCTACATTTTTACACTATTAGAGTTCGTTAAAAAAACATTTGTACGAAAAAGTTTATCACGTCCCTTATCGTCATTTATTCTGAAAAGAATCCAATATGGCCACAGATTTTTTTCAAAGATAATAGGCCATCGTTTTCTTTTGTACTCCTTCGGATCTCCATTGTGTTTCATAAAAAACAACAACCAGTAACCACTTCACAATTATCTCTCGAATAATAGACAAAATGTTACCAGATTCACTTTCTTCACAAGAAGAGACGAAGAATATGAAGTTGATTCTCATTCGAGTTTCTCAATGGTTTCGATGCAAATAAATAAGTATAGAACGGCGCGGCATTGTTGAAATAAAGAAACGTTATTCCGAGATTGAAAAGACAATTTTCAATTTGAGTATGTAGAGAAGTCTTCGGAATGTTCAAACGCTGTTTGTTATTTGGGTTTGCAGACTTATCAATGGGTAAAGTATAGTTCTCAGCACATAAACAGCACTTTCAACAAAAACCATTCTCAATAACATTCGATCTTTACGCTGTATAAAGAAGTTTTCATTATAGTTCATCACGTCAGTATCCGTTGGTGGAATTTGCATCTGTAATCTCTTCAGATTGTAATCAGATAAACCTCTGAAAACGACCAGCAACAACGGTAGAATGAGCGACACAGTGATGAGAAAATAAATAAAATACACACATTTATAAGTGCCGAATTGACTGCATACACCACTTTGAATGATTGTCAAGACAATCGCGTGAATGCTGAACACATGCCAAAAGACAATGATGAATGCAATGACACTTCGGATGCCGATAGGTTGACTGAGAATTTTCGAAGCGAGAATAATTTTTAATCATCAAATGACGATCGATCCATGCCAGGTAGACCAAATATCGTCCGATTTGACTTCATGCGTGACTCGAATAGAATTATATTTTGCACAAATCGATCTTCACATTTGTGAGATCCGGACTGAACCTACGAGAAAATTTCGACTAGACGTTGACACCGTTGAATATCACAATGATCAGCAAACACAATGCACAGAAGTTCTTCCAAAGTAGAGCAAAGGCAATAACAATGCAGATATATCCGAAAATACCAGTAGTGATGATCGACAACGAGGCATAGCAACTAAATTCGTTTTGGGTATTTTGTACGACAGAAAGAGTGAACACTTTTACCTCTCTCTAAATATTCATAAGAACAACGCGCACGAATGGACTAGATCATATGATAATTATTGATGTTGAACACTCCAGAATTTAACAGTATGAATCAAATACAATCCTGTTTTTTTTTCTTTTTCTCTGAAGAAAAATGAGTTAATTGTAAAGATAGGTCAAGCACATTGCAGTTCTTTCCTGAAATATCTTACAAACAACGAGTTTAACTCAAGTTAATTGAGAAATCGGATTGAAAGCATTTCTGAAAAAGTTCATTTATGTCCATCAGATAATTAGGAATCAAGTGCAACATACTTATTTTCAAATGTTATTTGTAATTTAACGATCTTGATTTTTTTTACATCAAGAAGGTACGCTGCACTTTTTCGTCGAGATCGAATTCAAGTCTATACGTTTATGTATATCGGATTTGATACAAAACTCTGTTACTTTTTAATTAACTGGAGAATTCATCGTTTGAAGTGTCACTTGAAAAGTATCACTCGTGAGTTTTTCTAACATATTCATAGAGCACAAAGAATATGTTTTATTTAAAAATAATCTCCTGACCAGAACACAGCATGACCATTCGAAAAAGAAGTTTTAATCTGTTCATAAATTTCGGGTGGTAATCGAATATTTCGCATCATTATATCGTAATTAGTTCCAATTTGAACTGGGCCAGCCCAGTTAGTCAATTGCTCAATTGTCATATATTGTGGCAACGTAAACAACTGAATCCGTTTTGTCAATCCATAACGTTGTTGAATTTTGTTGGCCGCTAAAGATAGAAGTTTTTGCTCGTGATCGAAATTCGATGTTCGCCATTCTACTACACCAACATCTTCTTCATTTTCAGGATTACCGATAATTACATAACCTTTGTCTTCATAGGAAAGATCTGATACTGGACGCCATTAAATATTTTCATGAGATGGAGTATGGATTTGCCAATCGATAATAACTCGAATCGGTTGAGTGACTTGTTCCCATCCAAAACGTTCATAATGATTCACTTTTCCTGTACCCAACATCGACAAATCAAATGCATTGCTTTAATCTAATTTATCAATCGTCATTTGTAATAAACGTCGAGATGAACCTCGTCGTCGATATTCATCTCGAGTAGCGACATTGGTGATACCTGCACATACGTATTGTCGACCATCTTCATTAGATTCTAAAATCAAACGTCGAATATGTACTGTGCTCAGTAATTCATCGTTGAGCCAAGCACCTAAAGTATCACCTTGTTTGTAATACGGTGATGCACTTGATGAAATATAACGTTCTTCTAAATCAACTGGATTGTTGAAAATCGAACACCAGATTTCTAATGCTTGATTTTCTTCGTGTTTTGTCACATAACGATAGACAATTGATGAAACATCAGAATTCAACATGGAATCAAATGTACAATGTTCGACCTTTGTTCTTGTGACCATTGTTAACATCGATGTATGTATGAAGACGATAGATGTCGCTAGAAATCGCCTCGCGCTATATCATTCGATGTTTGTGAATATCAAAAGTCGCTCACCATCAAATACTTCACAACACACGAGTTTTATGTGAAACAATTTGATAGTTGCCAAATATATATTTCGGAGTATTGAAAAAAGAGACGTTTTCTCTATTTTTGTCTATTTAATTTTCATATCACCAGTTGAGCAAGATAAGAAGACTATAGGCGTATGACATTTTTATGTCAATACCTTTCGCGAACTCGCATGTTGGAAGAATTGTTGGTAGAACAAATAGATACGAAAAAAAACTGCGTTGTTATAGCCAATAATAAACGATATACTCAAGCGATAAATATGTAAAGTGAAGACAGGCAGCAAAGGTGTGACAAGCTGCAATTCAAAGATTTCATTCGCACACAAAAAGATCAATCAAACGAGTTTTAAAGAGTACAACAACTTTTATCTCATCAGTGAAGATCCTGTCCTCCGATTCTAAAACAACGATGAATTATTCATTCGAGGCAAATGTAAAGAATTCTTTCTTGAAAAATCGAGTTTCTCATTATGTAACATATCGTAAACATGGGTTCGAGTTTTCCAAAGCGAGTTCAATGTGCTTTATCGATCATAATCACAATTTGTTCCCTTCATCCCTATAAAGTAATATTCTCAAGTTGTTAAAAAAAACCAGTTTCTTATTGTAATATCTTACTTTTTTATACAAGAATTCAACTTATTTGATAAATGACCTATTAAAAAAGGAAGTCAGGTATTTATTCAAGATAAAAAATGCAAAGTCGATGAGTAATCTCAAAAGTTCCTTTAAAAACGGCGAACTCACCTGTTCGTTAACAATACCGAACAATGTATACTATTGTAACTACGGCAATCCTGTTGATTTTTCTTACTTCTGGACATTATACACTCGACGTTCAATTTCATTCAAATACGCCGGATGTCATTCCAAAGGCCAGGACATCGAAAGGTATCACACTGAAAGTGGCATTATATCCATTTCTACCTGATTCAGCCGGTGACAACTTTGCGAATTTAACCCGATTTATTAGAGAAGAATTCGTCAAAGTTCAACCTGATATCGATCTTCAGCTTCGTCCACTAAGCCAAGACGCAGATTTTTATAGTCTAGCAACACTCAAGTCATGGCTTCTAAGCAACGGCGAAGGATACGATATAGTCGAAATCGACACTGTCCTATTGGGTGATGTTGTCAATGCTGGACTGATCGCTCCGATATTTCCCATTCCCGATAATCATTCCGATTGGCATCCAACTGCTGCTCGTGCGGTTCAATTTAATCAAGTAGTGTATGGTTATCCACATCTAATGTGCGCTAATTTTCTTTTTACTCGCAACGAACAAGTTGCTCAAGTAAAAACTCTGGATCAATTGATTCATATTTTGGGTTCAACTCCTACCGACAAGTATCGTCTAATCGGAAATTTAAATTCCAGCTGGGATTTACCTGGCCTCTGGGTTAACAGTTACCAAAACAGTAACGGCATGGGTTCGGACGTACAAGCATTCGCAGTTCATTCTTACCAAACTACTTCATTCGAAAGTATGCGCAAATTATCGCAACTCTGTGAGCGAAGTGGAGGAGAAAATTACTGTCTTAATGGTGTATTTAGAAACAATGCAACGATGATAGCATCGTTATTCGCGACTAAACAGGCAGCGGCTATGATCGGATATTCCGAGCGATTGTTTCTTATTCTGAAAAATACACAACCCGATGATTATCTTAATATCAAAATCATTCCATTAACAGTAGGATCAGTTGATAATCAACCGATTTACTTCACCGATGCATTTGTTTTTCGACGAAATATGTCGGACGACGTTGCAAATGCCGCACGTTCATTCGTGGAATTCATGAACACGCCTCGCATGCAAGCTGCTGTTGTCGGCAGTGAAGATAGTATCAACCCGAAACTACGATATTTACTTCCAGTATCACGAAATGCTTTTAATGAACCAATCTTAGCAAATGATCGATTTTATCAACAATATTTTCGCAATTTAAGTGTCGGTTATCCATTTACAACACTCGGGTTTCCAAATGCACGTCAAGACATTCAAAAAGCTATTGTAAAATACATCACTGACGATAAGGACAGAAATTCTTCGTCGATAACTCTTTTTCATTATTCTAATCTATTAGTCGTAATATATTTTCTTCTTCTTTTCATTCTGTGAGACTCTTTTTACACCAGAAAATAACACATGTGATGCCTTGTTTATCTACATGTTATTAAACGAGATCAATGTAAAATAACATGTCTGCTATGTTTCGGGTTAAAGACAAAGCGAATTTAGTCTTCTCGAACGACTTTGAGTCGCATTTGACAAAACAAAATAGAAATAAGCAGTACTTGGCTTTACACGCATTGTGTGTTTTAGCACATACTACATGGCGTGTGGATGCAAGAACGCTGTTTGTCAAGTAGAATAGTACTAACAGATCATTCGTCTTCTTTGTTTCTTTACAGTGGAACCACGAGTGGCACGCAATTCATCATATGCTGTATTTTGCAAGAGTCTTTAAGATTAGTGCGTTTAACAACGCGCAATCCCTGATAAAAAACGCTACAACTGGTAGTTGATAAACCGTAAACTATTACATATATCGTATGAACACTTTTGATATTCGTAGGCCTTAACTATAAGGTAAACTCTATACGTGTACGCCATCGACATCTTCCAGTGCACAAGAAGTCATTTGATACGTATACCTCGCCTTAAAGAAGTCATTTGATACGTATACCTCGCCTTAAAGAAGTCATTTTCTTGTTCGATTGGTAGCTTACACGTTTGGTGTGAATGGGACCTGCGAAATACTCCTACTTACTACTATGAAGTTTACTTTCGCTTCTCGAATCTGTTGACTAAAATCGCACGTATGCTCAACTGAATGTATTTCTCAACCGTCATAATTTAATGCAGTATGTTGACAAAGTGGATCGACTTCCTGGTGGTTTCATGAATTTCACCTGTCGCATACATTTCAAAACTGAACTCGAACATACTCCATCGGAGAAAGTAGATGGCGCTGATAGTGAAGATTGCGTATCCTCCCTTTCCAATCGTACGTCAAATGAACGAAGCACGAGCCCTACAGCTACTGAAACATGTGCCGTATCAAATCGACAACACGAAATCAGGACTGGCTGATCTTTCATCCCTTTTCGATCGACACAGAGCACTGAAAATTAGTCGGTTGTGGGCCCATGACGAAGATCAAGGCCCATTGTAAACTATGCACGACTGGCTGATCTCTCAGATCTCATCTTTGACTGAGCCTATCACTGATCTTATTCATGCGTTTGGTGTACGGTTGGCCAATTGGGTCATTGATTTACAAATTTCGTCGACAGTTTACATCAAGACTTTGGATCCAATGTTTAATATTTCCGAGGCAAACAATGCTGACTGCATTGAAACACCTCCCCTAATGGAGGACCTTCGTAAAAATTATGGTTTATACGATGTTAATGAACTTTCATCGTTTTTTTCTCAATATTTTCAACAAGGTGTGTCAAGTTCAACGGTTGATGGTCAAGTCTTCGCACATGGTGATATTTGACCGCCGAATATTCTGATTAATGAAGATGACTTAACACTGGCTATTCTCGACTGGGAATGGGCGGGTGTTCGATCACCGGCGCATGATCCGGGCACGTTTCTTTCCAGCTGTCGTGTTCAAATGATCGTTGATCCTTCCAATGAGAGTCTGCTGTGTTTCATGAATGCGTTTATGGACACGTACAGAGACAGTGCCAGTCAACATAAAGCCAGTTGGTATGAGAATGAACAGAAAAGGTACTTCTTTGCATAGACGTTGGGTATTCTTCATAGAGTCGTCATGCTGTTCTGGACGAGATCTCTCACTTGTTGCTCAACTTAAGAAGGCAATATGTGCTGTCATCGACGTTGTCTGGTCACAGAAGGTAGTGAGTAAATAAGGAAATGTCGATCAGGTCCTGAAAAAACAACCTATGATTTTCTATTGAATGATCAGCTCTTTGATCGACTCTTCCAAGCTCCTCAATCAACAAACGAAAAATGAGAGTGAATGTGCTGTTATGGACATGGCTGGCGGCGAACTGAAAGAATAATTATACTTATATAATCATCACACATGCTCTGAAATTCGATTCGAAAATTACATAATCAATACCAAATTGTGTTCCGTCGGTCAGAAATATAACTATTTTATTTTGCATGTAATCGGTGTATAGCTGTGGTAGAATCCTCGATTACGTATTAAATCTTAAGTCTTTGATTTCTGAAAGAAAGGTACAACAGAAACAATGTCTTATGAAATAGGCCAAGGAATAGACGTAGGATATCTATGAGCAGGATTCGACATTTTCTTGAGCCGATTCGTTTTCACTGTATGTTCTAAGTACAACTTGGTGAGTACTATTGCTTCCAAAAATAAAATTTTGGAGAAAGCTACTCCTTCACTGCAAAAAAACTCAAAAAAATCTTTGAAAAAACATCTCAAAATTGTAGAGAAACCTAGGCCAGTTCGTCTTACAACCACCTGGCTCAATTTCAACACTCATTCCAGATCAAACTCGACGAGCTCTATTGGTTCCCCTCACAATATTTTCACCCCGATTTCGTCCACACCCTCAAGATGGGGCAACGATATCTGGCCTGGTAATTCGCCTGATCTCAATGCGGCAGAACATATTGGATCAATAATCAAAGATGAAGTTGAACAAAAAATGTTATCGGAAACTGGACATAATCGATATAGTAAAGACACACTCGAAAGACACATTGTGGATGTTTTGACGGATGTGGAAGAAAACACCGAATTGTTTGAATCTCTTCTTTGTTCGTATCCATCTCGAACTCGTGCACTAAAGAGCGCTAATGATCGCCATACTGATTATTAATTGTGCTCAATAAACAATAAGAAAATAAACTATTTTACAACATAGTGTAGGCCGAACTTTTTCGATAAACTGATTTTATAATATTTTACGCTGGTAAAAATCGTAACCTTTGATAAGTCAATACACGAAAGTTCTTCAAAGTCTTACTATTTAGTATCACTAAACCCCATTTTTCACGAGGTTTCATTTGGTAAAAAATTAATGATGTCTCCGACTCGAGATCATAGTGTTACCCCCCTAGAATAATATTATTTACCACCCTGTATATTAATATATTCCTTATACCGCTATACCACTAACCTACTATATTAATATACTCATTGTACCGCTAACACCGCTATACTATTGCACGGGCATAGTGCAGCTCGAGTGAATTTTGTTTTCGAAAAGATTTATAGTCGATGTATATAGAAAAAGCCGATAAAGAGATAGTTGAATCGATTTTGCTACTGTTACGATTGCATCATTTATATAGATTCCTCGTTAGTCAGTGTTTCAAGGAACTGTTTACTGCTCGAAAGATTCGATATTGTCGATTTGTTCGCATAAGATATTTAGGATGAATTGAATTTGCCGCAAAATCAAATTCCCCATTACCTCTGAAAATCACTTAGCAACTGTGAATCAGTCAAGCTCTGCTACTTGCCGAACGTGAAATAAGAAGAAAAAATAGCACTTGTTTGGAAAAAAACCTTTTATAGACAGAAGATACGTTTCACCTTCACACGAGATGAAGAAAACTCTTTTACACCTAAAGATACTTCTAGGAAAGAGTTGTAGATAATTAAAATATCTCTATATATAAGACCATACTTAATGTGGAAAAGTAATCAGTGGACACCTTTTTGTTCACGTCAATCCTGTTCTTGGAAAATGTACGACGTAAAAGTTTACTTAAAGAAAATTAATCTTCTTCATCTTATGTACTTTCTGTTGAACTCAATGGCATAAGTTTGACTCGAGTCAGTCATCTTCCGTGTTTATCACTATCATAATCAGATGCCGTCAGACATATTATTATTTCAAGTTTATTGTGACATATAAACAACGATCTACGATTGTTAGCAAATAACTTTTCTCTGCTCAGAAACAATCAACGACTACCATAAAGGTTCCTTAATGGAAACTGTGATCGATCAGCTATGCATAATGGCTTTAGATTATCACATATATTCTACCAGTTTGGTTCACGGTTGATGTACTAACAGCACTCGTCCCAAACGAAGCATTTAGCCTTCATTGAATAACTCAAATATGTTACGAAAAATAATTGCACAAGTTGTATGAAGTATACAAAAGAATATTCGCATTCATCCTCATCCTCACATCGGCAATCTTTGTGAATACTTATAAGTCCGTATCTCACGAATGCGACTCTGAAGTCACTGAAACTCTTTATTTATTTCGAATGATTACTCATATAATTCTGCACTACTCCAGTAGTAACTATTGGATCTTCCACCAGCAACTAATACTCTTCCATTTGGTAACAACGATGCTGTATGACTGTAACGGTCATGCTTCATTCTTTCATAAGTTGTTGTCCATTTTCTTGTCGCTGGGTTATAGAACTCCACTGTATTTGTAGCAGTTGTATTGTATCCACCTGTAACTAACACACTTCCATCTAACATTACAGTTGCTGTATGATATTTTCTAGCATATTGCATATTATCAACGAAAGTCCAGCTTCCAGTTTGTGGATCATATAATTCAGCACTCCTTATACCGAATCCACCAGTAACTAATACTTGTCCATTTGGTAACAACGACATTGTATGACCTTCTCGTGAAGTTTTCACACCCATCGATGTCCATAGTCCTGCCGCTGGATCGTATAATTCTGCGGTAAACAGTGAACCGCCGACCACTAGTACTTTTCCATTTTTTAAAAGACATGCGGTGTGTTTTGATCGAGTAGTCTTTAGACTACCAGTAACTGTCCAAATATCTGCCGATGGATCATATAATTCAGCAGTGTTCATAGAATTACTAAGCAAAGCTTGTCCACCAGCAATCAATACTCTTCCATTTGGTAAAACAGTTGCTGTGTGACTTTGCCGAGCATTGCGCAAGTTAGGAATTGTTCTCCATTTTTTCGTTGATGGATCATACAATTCAGCACTATTTAAAAGTCTGTCGCCATTTACACCGCCCGTAACTAAGACTTTTCCATTCGATAAGACAGATGCTGTATGTGCATATCGTGCATTTTGCATACTAGCTGTATTGCTCCAGGTTCCACTTGATGAATTGTACAGAATAACTCTATTCGTTGCACCTGCATTATTAGTCTGGCCACCAGTGATCATAATTGTTCCATCAAGTAACGTGGATGCGACATGCTCTCTTAATGCTATTGGCATGTCTTGAGTAAAACGCCAGACTAAGAACGAGACAGTTTCTTTCGTAATAAAATTTCAATAGAACGAATCAACATACAACAGTTATATGAACTGAATCTATACACTCTAGTCCTTTCATATTCTCTTCGAAGAATCAATTTTAGTTTTATCCAACCTTTGAGGTAAGATACTCGTCAAGATGGTATAGAAAAAATGTATATAAATTTTCGACCTATCCAATAAACTGATGCCAGTGATTGCCTCAAATTAACAAAGAAATCGATACTGTTGATGGCGTTTGATGAATAAAAGAACTCCAAATTCTTTGAAAGAATACTTCTGCTAGATCAACATGAGTATGGCAATTTACTTCTCGGTGCAGCAATAGTTGTCGTCGTCGTCTTTGTAGTTGTAGTTAAAGTGGTTGTTGTCGTTGTCGTCGTTGATGTGATTTCAGTTGCATTTGGAATCGTATTGGTTGTATTTGTATTCACTGTCATCGTTGGACAAATTCGTGAATCAGTCATTAATGCTGGAAAGCAAACAGGTTGTGTATTGCATCGAGGATGGTGAACACAGATATGATCATCTTGAGCACAGGACTTCGTTTGAGAATCACATGGAACAAGAGTTGAACAACTTGTCCAAAGAAAGCCGCATATTCCAACATTATGAGCACCAACCATGTGAAAACAACCACACGCACCATTCGCTGAACATCGATCGTACTGAGATATATCAGCACAGACAGAGCAATTTACATTATTGGTTGATAAACTATACATCAACGATAAAATCTCTGTGAGTTAATCGATCACTGTTGGAATTACCTGAGGAGGAGAAGTAATGAGAAGCAAAATATCGCTGATACAGGCAACATGGCTTGTATTTTCAATAAAATCGATTCAGTACGATATTTTCTTTCACTATTTATACAAAGCAAATGCTACAGCAGCTTTTTTTAGTGGCATCAACTCATAAGACTTAATCTTTCTATAATTGAAGATTTGACTGAAAATTTCAGATAAGGCAGTCTTCTTCGATAACAACAAAAAAACTAATCTGTTTTTTTTTCGAAGAAGGCGTCTCTCAGTCAATGATCAAAGTTTTAACTCTATTTTTGCTGGGGGGTGAGGGTGTGTGTACAGTATCATGATGAACTTACGCTCCCCCCACATCCTCCTTTAGAGATAACAAAAAGAAGATTTGTTGATAGATTAGTGAAAAATGTATGGATTATTTCAAAACTTCAATAGATTCAATAATGCATATTTCAGATGAATCCAATTTTCCTATTGGTTGAAGAAGATCTACGGCCTGCTGTTGATCCATTTTAATATAAATATAGGTTAATGCAGCATGACTTTTGCCAAGTTCTTCTTTATGATAGGTCGTATGATTGTGTCTTACGTCTTCGGTTTCATCTCTCAAAAGATGCTCATGCTTCATTAGTTGATATTTCAACTGTCTTTCGTAATTACGATGAAGCAAGAAGTCGATTTCCACAATTTCTTCGCACAGACTTATGATAAGAGAATGTGGTATACCAAAATGTTGTGTTCGAATATTCAAAGCATTGATATAATTGTCAATGGCGTTGTCATAATCTTCTATAACTTTATAGACATCAGCTAAACTCGTATAATAGGTTGCATATTGGATACTCGTAGGTGAATAACATTTCATCATCATCATCAGACATTGTTGCTATAGATTTGGCTTTGGCAGCCAAATTCGATAACATGTCTCTTCTTGCAAAATCGTCAACAAATTCTAAATTTATTGCCTTATAATTGCTCATAGTCATCCTATGGATCCATGGATATCACCGATATGAGACCAACAGTTCAGTTCACTATCATTATCCGGAATGCATTCGCGCCATATATCTATCGCTTTGTCGTGTCCCAACATCGCTTTTTCGTAATCCTTTATTATGTGTTGTTGGTACTGTGTCCAGCAGTAATGCTTCGCAGTTGGAATCCATTTTTCCTCTGGATGTAATCTTTGTAGACCATTGAAAATGTTTTCTACTTCCTCTGGTGATGGCACCTGGTACGTGTGAATGAGTTTATCCACGCAAGAAATAAAAGCTCTTCTTGGAGTCAAACGAGCTAAATCCTCACTGTATTTAAAGCAGTTTCCGTTTAGCCGCAGATCAACTATCCAATTATTTTCTGTATAATTGACATCGATAATTTCGAATTCTGTACCAATGGAAAAAAGAACTTCAGATTCTTCACGGAAATTGCTCAGATGCGATATATTTGCGTAAGGACGAGAAGCCATTCGCACATCCAATTCAATTAGGAAAAGAACACTTTCCAACTCATTTTCATGTCGTACCGATGATGAAGACTCAAGCATGAACATGGCCACTTGACGATCCAATGTTGTTGAAAACAAACTATTCGCTGCAAGAAATAATCTAGTTCTCTTTTTCAGATTTTCAATCTCATTCGTAGACATAAGTTGNCCATTGATGTTATCCCGAGAAACATCATTCCACCGATGGGACTGTCTTTGACATTTCGGACATTGAATCCATAGACAATCGGAACAATAAACCAAATAATCAAAGCAAAACCAAACGAAATATTCACAATTGCCCATCGAGGAAGGATCAATGGTGAACCGAGATACATTGTGATTTGAGACCAATCTAAAGTTAACCCGCCTCCAGCCAAGGCGAGGCCACGAACAGCGGTTAACTGCGCGAGAAGATAATTCGATTGATTGAATAGACATGCCCAAGAGAATACAGATAGAGCAGAGACAATATAGAGCGGAAACCATTCGTAAATAAATGCGAGAATTGTTACTAAAATGAAAAAATGGATTTTCTTTTCTAAGAAGAATTTCTTAATTTTTTGTATCAGTTGAGTTTTATTATAATAGTTTATCACCGGTAATTGATGTTCGTGTAATGTACGCAAAGTCGCGATCAATGGTAAATTTTGTGGCCAGATAATTTCTGTTGGCCAAACTAAAAATCGTCGCATAATACCTAAGCGAAACTTCTCATCATCGTCCTTTGAAATCAAAATGTTTTACCTGCAAGTCCAAAGCCGATGAACTGGAGTGCAACGACAAGAAAAAAATAATTGACAAAATTTCGTTGGTCATATTCTAACAACGGCAACGTTGCCGACGTTGCGTAATTAAACACCGAAAAATACATCCAAGAGATATTCGTCATGACTAATATCAATCCGTGTTCCTTCTGAGTAAATTTCTGCGCATGCGGAACAATCCACGTCCATAAATGACCCAATGGATATGATAAAATGACACTTAAAATCGGGCTGATGTATGTGTAACTGTACGTATACTTTGTCCATTGATGAAGAATGGCGATTCCAACGACGGAAATCGTTCCGATGGTAATACTTCGTATTGTCAGACAAAGTTCATCGTGGTTATCTTTGTTTGAACAAGTTCCAGCGACTTCTTCGAATTGCGTCATCTCTCCGTCGGAATATAAATAAATCGGATTTGGATCGTCGATAAAGTCTCTTTTTATATCCGTTGTCATTTTGATTCTATGTCAATAACGATATTGTATCGCAATAATATTTCAAACGAGGTTACGCTTTTTTTTCTCGATTAATGTGACTCCAAATAGGTGAAATAATATCAAAACAAACGTTTGCCATTGATCTATTTTTGTCTCCTGCGCAATAGAAGCGAATGAAAGTTTATATGAAAGGAAACATTCTTGAAATTACATCAGTTAAGCATTAATAATCATAAGCATGACTTATACGGCGTGTGTTAATTTCAATTTTGTTGAATTTTCATTCGATATTTGTCAATAACAGATACTTTACAAGTGTTCGGATTTCGAATCAAAAAGTACAAAAGTGAAACTTAACGTAGGAGGATTAATTGAATCCGATGTATATTTAAAGAATTCTACGCTTTCTTTGTTCGACTGATCATTTTTTATCGAACCGAATTCTGTCGAGAAAATCGTTGCAAATGAATGACAGTAGTTCACTGGAATTCAATCAAAGCACGTCGTGGGATGTTGAAAAGAAGACTGACCGAGGAATTTTGAAAAAATATCGAGCAGCATATTGGAAACCATGTTTAATCGGATTACTTCTTGGTTGTCTTTGCGCAGGAATTGCTCTTGGTGTTGTAACAACACAATTCATTCAAGGTTTTCAGAATAGAAATACCTACTCTCCTTTTCAAAATTTCAGTTTTGCTTAGATGAACAGAAATCGATGACAACCACGAGTTCAACATCGACGACAACAACTTCCGCAACTACGACGAGTCTGTATTCGTATTCACGAGAGAAAAATCGTTTTATCTGAAGATTTTTATTAAAACAGCATCCACGACAACTTCGACGACGTCTACGTCAACATCGACTTCAACAACGTCCGCGACAACTTCCACCAGTTCCACATCATCTACATCATCTACCTCGACAACGTCTACAACTTCCACGACGTCTACATCATCGACATCCGCAACAACTTCTACGACAACAACTACCTCCACAACATCAAGTAAGGAATTGATCTATTTGATACTTTTGTTTTTCATCTGAATTTGTTTTTAGCAACTACAACAACATCAGTTGCCCTTCCATCTCAATGTTCCAGTTATACTACGAATTCGGATTCAACTCGTAATGTTGCCGACAAGAGTGTTACTGATTGTGATAGTTCTGCATTTAGTTCAACTGGAGTTTGGATTCGCTTTATAAGTCCAGCTGGAACAATGATCGCCACCTATGATCCTGGATATTATTATTGTGGTACTGATGCACCTGGTTGGTATAAGGATTCTTACCCAACATCCGCTGGAAGTACAGTTAATGGCACTGTTTGTTATTCTTGGTCTGGAAATTCATGTTTATGGTCGAATACGATTTTAATTACGAATTGCAGTACTTTCTACGTTTTTCTCCTGATTGACACAGCATTCTGCAGTTTAAGATACTGCACTGTATAATACTTGCAGCGAAACTTGGATTTCTATAAAAAGCCACTAACGTTCCAACGTAGAACAATATTTTTCATCCTAATGTCATTTATCATTACTTATTAACCTGTGTAGATTGAATATGATATTACCTATCGATCGTTTTCAGGTAAATAATGTATACGACACTCATAAAATATCATACCTTAATCGCAAAAGCTAACAATTATATGATTGGTGAGCAAAATATTTCCCTATGACAAGATCACGTTTTGTTTTGCACTCACTCGAACGAAATACATTCTCCGTGAACAGAATTGAAGTCCATTTGCAAACTAAATAAATATAAATACACTTCTACGTCATATTCAAACACAATCACAATAGAATTCTCAATTTCCAATTCTTCATTGTTTCTCTACACCCAAGACTTGCATTTTATATGTGCGATAGTCAATTTACCTTTAGACACTCTTTATCATCCTGATTACCGCATCATCAATGCGAGAGGAGTATAGTTGACTCATTCATTCGTATCGATATTCAGCGCGATTTTTTTATTCGTTCTCATTCAAAAAACACATACGCGAATGATAACTATAAGTATGCTAATCGTTTTTGTCGCTTCGTTCGACGTTCGGTCGATTAAAATTGTTTCGATTCAGTCTGGAAGAGGATCTGTTGTCTGTTTTGATCGAATAATTTCTTATAATTAAGTTTATTTTCATTTTTACGATGCATGGTCGTTGTCTAATTGATGTTTTCTACCTGGCTGATTCGTTAAGGTCAAAAAATAAAATGTGGACGTCTGCGTGTGTTTTTTTCTCTTCAATATATGCGTCAATATGTTTACCGAACTAGTCTTCGTTTGTTATGTTTCGGTCCTGTTGAAGTTCTGTGAACAAAACAATGTTATACAGTTTTTAGATTGAAGTTCTTTGGAAGAAATGTTGCCGAATCATGACGACTTCGATTTTCTAGAAACTGACTTACTGAGAAGAGAGACGATTTATCGAACGAAACGAAGTAAGACGGGGAAGAGAAATGTGGGGAATTAACGATATTTGTTTGTTTGTTTGTTTGAAGGTAAAGCGGATACTTTATCAGTCGAAGCGGAGTTACAGCGACGTGTGAAAGAAGTATAATCGGGTTAAGATAGAAGAAAGGTTTGATTTTGTTTGTTTTTTACTTTGAGATTATCAAAGCATTGAAACTGAAATTTGAAGATGATGCAAAGTAAGAGTGAAGAATGATGAAATGTGGAGTTCGATCGAATTGATTTAGTGATTTGGCTCATGTTGGTTTCTTGGAATTCAAAACTACGAATCTAACTGAACAAAACGTCGATGAGAATCATCGTTTTCCATTTGTAAGTTCTTCCAAAGTATATTTCTCATTCGAATTATTGTCGTCCTTTATAAGTTTATTCATCTTTCTCCAAATACACGACCATTATTCGTCTCAAAATGCGTCGAAGTTTACCATCTTCCTGCGCCGGACTTTATTCTGTCGATTCAAACAAGTCTGGTTTATCAGGATGATGCAAATAAACCAAAATCAGGAATTCAAACCGAAACTGAACGTGCGATTCAAAACGGTTTAACCGCTATGGCGAAAATCATATGTAAACACGAACATTTTCGATAAATCTCCTCTTCAGTACCGTTCATTCAGATCCTTGGGTGACGACAAGTTGTTTAAATGACGATATGATGAAACTTCTTGGAAACGCTCTGCATCGGGATATCTGTGGAAGAGATATTCCGTGTTTAGGGTTTACCAATTGGAGTTCCTCTACAGGTTTTTGCCAAAAAAGGAAATTTGCCTTTGTTTGCGAAATTCGTTCTTCTAGGCGATCAAGTCTTAATGGAAAAATTCACGCGTGTATCGGTTAACGATGAACTTCGATCGATAGTGAGAATTTTGTCTTATTTCGAGATGTTTTACATCGAAGGAAATGATTTTAGTTAGATAATGAATATTCGGTTGTTCATACTTATATTTTGAGACCCAATCCGAGCTCCAGTAATCCTGCGCCGCATCGAACACTTCAGTCAAATCACACGCACTTCGTTTTATTCAATGATGGCTCGAAAGATACGAAGAATATTCTCCTGAAACGACAAGAAATTGAACACGAATTGAGTACAAATCGCATTTTGAAATCTCCTATACCGAATTATCCTCCGAAGAACATCGGTAAACATGTTTTCAGTTTATTTCATATCTCATTTCGTGCTTTAGTGTCGGACTATGATATTCCGATTATAACACTATTAGTTGCTGGCGATTTCTCAATCTTGGCGACGATATGTAAAGCTCTAGCAGCAGGGACACCGCTTGTTGTTGTTCGAGTACGTTTTTTCCGCGTCGAACTCTCGTCTGTGATGCAGATTTTTAGAATACTGGTGGAGTGGCTGATATCATTGCTCAGTTGTGTCGAAAATTGTCTCCGAATGATGAATTAGGTCCATTTCGAAAGCGCACTTATATTGAAGAGTGTAAGAACGAGTTAAAAAAGCAGCTTTCGTTGGAGCAGAGCGATATTATCGATCCCGATGAAGAAATCGAGAAATATGTGAATATTTTCAACGAAATGGAAGAGCTTGTTATTGTTTTCGATGCCATTGAACATGCTAATCTCGAAAATGCCGTTGCCGATGCCATGCTCAAAGGAATTAAGTATCGCGTCGATAATTGGGAACATTTTTTCTCTTTGGATCTGCAAGAGGCGAGTCTCATCTGGTGTTTGGTAAAGTTTTGTCTGCATTTCTACATGATATTCAGTTTCGATCGTTCAGATTTGGAATAAAATCGATTATGCGCAACAATTACTCGTCGATCGAAATGATGAAAACGCTAAATCGACGGAGAAACGTACAAATCAAGTAAAACATAACTTTCGTTCTTCTTTTCGAGCTTATTGCCTTTGTTGCGAAGATGATTCCTTTGATGCAACAATTGCTATTCGAAGCTTTATATCGAAATAATGTTTCGTTTGTTAATCTACTCATGAAATACGGTGCATCGATCGAAGAATTGACCGAAGAGCAACTGATCATCATCTGTGTGAAAACTATGGTAAGAAACGGTTTCATCATTTCGACAAAAAGCTTCACTTGATTTAGAATTCCGATGCGTTGGTGTTGAATGACCCATCGATTAAGTCTCTTGTTCTTCACTCCGACCATAAAATCCGCACTCTTCGAGATTTTGTTGAGCTGAAGTACAACAACTACCTTCGACAGTTTCTGGAGCACTATATAACGAAAGAATACGAAAAATATACTCAACGACATTTTCTTTCCTTGTCGAAAATCTTCGATGAGAGAAAAACCGAAGCACTTTATCTTTGGTTTCTGTTTATGAATCAACCAGCCATGGCGAAGTATCTTTGTTCAAGAAGTCGAGTAAACTTTGCTGAAAGCGAACAATTTGCATCACTTTTTTGCGTTCCGACTAGAACCAAATCGTCGCCAGTCTTCTCGCAGTGGAAATTTACAATGCAGCTAAGAACGGCATGCGCAAAAATAGGCATAATTTACAAAATATTGCCGAGTAAATGCTCTCGCTTTGAAATAAATTCCTTTCAGTTTTTTAAATAGGGAATTTGATCAACATTCTCGAGCGATTATCGACAAATGTTTGTCAGCAGACAACGAATTCGCTTTGAAATTACTCGAATGTAAAGCTCCGGCGTTGTTTCATTGTTTTCCATTGGACATTGCACAACGTGCAAATAGTCGTGCGTTCCTCGCCAGTGATACAATTCAATTACATCTGTTAAACATGTGGTTTCATCGTTTTAACCATCGGCAACGGTTATTAACCATACCTGCGTCGATCTGGGTTGGATTGAACTCGATATTTTGATAAAACGTTCATATTTCGATTTGATTTAGGTGGCAATCGCTGCATTGTTTCTCCCGTTGATTCCAATAATTCCGATTTTAGCGCCGACATTGTTTCAAAACACGCAGCACAAAACAGAAATTGTATGGGAGACTTCTGCATTATGGAATTTTGATTTGTTTTCTGTTAAGAAATCGAGTTGCTCCAATCCGTATCAAGCTGTTGTGGCCTATAAACCTCCATCACCAAAACAAGCAATTGTTCGTCGGTTTGGCATTTCGAATACTCTTAATAGAATCAAATGGTTTTATGAAGCTCCGGTTATACGTTTTTATAACAATTTAGTAAGACTTTCTTTAGAGAATTTCGATATCTATGATCGTTATTAGATGTTTTTTGTGGCATTCCTTCTGTTGTTCAGTTATATTCTTTTGGTTAGTTACTTTCCAATACACGCCCAAGCAGAATATCACGTGAAATATCGCTTTTTACCGATTCCATTAGCGGAATTCCTGTTGCATGTTTGTATGTGGAGTTTGATCATCGATGAACTGTATCAATTCGCCTCTCAAATTGTTATGAAATACAATTACGGTACCAATTCGTGGAACTGGATGGATCAAGCAGGAATTCTATTCTATTTACTGGCCTTTGCTACTCGTTGGTCGGATGATGAGCTGTGGTTTATGTGGTCCAAGTAAATTTCTGCGAAGCCCAATAAATGTTTAATCTAACTCGAACCATTTAGGATATTTATGTCCATTGCATGTGTTATTTGGTATACACGTATACTTTTTTTCTTTGCTGTATCGAAACAATTAGGACCGTTATTAACTATGATCTATGAAATGGTAAGAATCAATTTTGATTTGTTGTTGAAGATTGAAGTGCAGGTTTTAGACGAAAGACGCGATGATGATATTCGTATGTTTCATTCTGATAATACTCTTCGGCTTTTCGGTGGCTTCTTGGGCGCTGTTAACTACGAAGTCGCAGGTGATCTGGCCAAATCAGACGAATGTGTCTGTTCGTCTTCTTCCGGTGGTCATTGCGGATAGTAGTGAACTGTGGAATTGGCAATTGTTGAGGGATATCTTCAATTGGGGCATTTGGAAAGTGTTCGGACAAGTCGCCGAACCGTATAATGATGCTGTCAGTGGTAAGATGAAAAAGAACAA